ATATATGAATTTATCATAAGTTCGCCATATTGGGGCTACCTACTTTGATTATGTATTCGTAAATTCAGTGTGTTTTAATCCAGATAGCGTGCACCCAAGGGATTAGGACCAGAACTAGGTAAAATGCACTTGAACATGTATTTAAAATGGAAAATGCAAAATGTATTAACAGCTTGTATTTGCGTTGTATTTATTTGTGGGTCATACTGAGTAGAGATAGAGATGAGATAAGGAGATAACACATTATTATGTATAAGATTATTTATTTATTTATATGTGAATAGATTGCCTAATTAATGAATAAAGGCGGGTTGTCTCGCTAATTCAACCTCAGTTCAGTTGAATGCCGAAATGAAGAAATTCAATTGGCTTAAAATTAAGTAATTAAGTCGCTTGATTATGTCGAGTAAGAGTGGTACATACAAACGACCCTAAATTAAAACTGTTCAGCAATCAAACATCAGTCCACGTTCGTCAGAGTGGAGACACGTCTGAATTAAATAAAATAATGTTGGTAGAACTGACTGACTTGACGATTAACGGATTTGTTTATGTTTTCAAACGTTGGTAGTGATTATTTATTGGGAAACATTTTTAGAAAAACCAATTTTCTATAAAGTATTAAATTATAATCAAAATTTGATTATAGATTTTAAAATTAATCGGTATTAAACCAATTTAAATTCAATGAAAACCGAAACAAAGATGTCTACAAAGACCACATCAATTGATGCTCGTGGAGAACTAGCAGAATTAGTTAAACGAAAAGCAGAAATTTCTGTTAGTTATTTTGATGTGGCTATTGTCAGAGTATGTAAAATATATAATATTTGCAGGAGACATTGGCAAATTTAGAACGACAAATATATGCTTTCGAAGGTTCGTATTTAGAAGACACGCAGCTCTACGGTAATATTATCAGGGGATGGGATAGATACTTATCCAGCAATAAAACGACAAATGCGAAATCTGATAAACGAAATAGAAAGTTTAAGGAAGCAGAAAGATTGTTCTCGAAATCGTCCATAACCTCAATGGCAGTAAGTTTGTCTTCAGAATATTCATTATTCTCATTCTTGCTGTACAACTCATTTTAAAATTGTGTGTTCTAGGCTGTGAGCGGACTTATAGATCCCAACCAAGAAAAATGTAAGTACTTTCATTGTAGCGATATAAGTAAAACTAATTCTTTAGCTGAACGGCAAAGTGATACCGAATCACAAACAAATGAAGATTCAAGTGACACAAATTCAGCAATGCCCACTACAAATCACGTGGACTCCACCTTAAAGGGTACAGGAAAACACTCGACAAATTCGTCAACGTCGTTTAGTTCAAATGGTACACAAAATCAGAATGGACTAGACAGATCGAGTCCGGCAAGGGATGAATCTGCTAAACAGAAGAATTTTAGTAATAGTGCAAAAAAGAATAATAGTAAAAAAGCGCGGCATAGATAAGTGTGGTGAAAGTTACCATTGACATAAGTTAATGTTAGAATGTGGTTTGCGTAGTCTTTTAAGAAATATTTGAATTATGTACAAATTTTATTCTCTTTTTCTAAATCTCGTACCATGCAATGCCAAGGAGTTCGATCTTTTTTTACATACCTAGCTCTACCTTTGATTCACAATAAAATGTGTAATAAATTTTTGTTTTATTTACAGACATTGCATTTTATGGCTGGTGCTTTTTGTGGGACTTGTAAGAGCATATTATTCAAAGTGATTGTGTATAGGATGTACTACAGGGTGGTTCAAATTTGTGGGTTACCATTAGGATTTCGGTAACTGTGAGCGATACCGTATAGGTTAAACAAACACAGTTACCCCTTTTTGTGACAAAAAACGCATTGAAATTTTTGAAAATAATTGATGTCACGGAAAAACTACATGCCAACTTTCTAGCAAGCTCCATACCCTAGAATTCCTGTTGCCGGGATCTGCGCAAAATGGTCAAAATCGAAATACTCATCACGATTGCTGTATACAGAGCGTTTCATATCTTTTCCCTTGAAGATAATTTGAAATGATTATTACTAAAAATCTGTGTCAGAAATTCAACCCCAAGATTTTATCTCACTTAGAGATAGTATACAAAAAGTATCTCAAGTATGAGACAATGTCAAGATGTCACCTTCTATAATAACCATTGAAATAAAAGACTAATAATAACAGTATCATAGGAACTCCCTGTGAAATACAAGAATGCAATTAAATAAGACTCACCAGGACAAAATGCAGGTCACAGAACACCTGATCCGGGTCTACAATTGTATGTTTTTCATATTAAACCATACGATTATAGACTGGCAGCAAGTGTTCTATTCTGGCGAGTTATAGACCTAGGTTTTTTAAATTTCATTGATTATGAAAAAAAATTCCCACTGTGCTGGACAACTGGAAAAGAACATCACTGAACATAAAAAATTTTATTACTTAATTTCACCTAGTTTACAAAAAATATACAAATTAACCCTCTTAATTACTAATTAATCCCAGGTAATCATCCATCAGTGTCCCAATAGCAAACTGAAAACAAACAGAATTATTTTCAGTGATAAAATAAAAAAGAACATACAATGCCAGTGGCGTCGACCCGTGTTCCCACTATTTTTAATCTAATTTCACCCTCTGCATGAATAACTACGTCTTCATCTTTGGTTTTGTAGCACTGCGGGTTGACATTGGGGCAAAACTCCATTTCGGCAGGAATTGACTACAAACATTGTTACAATAACTAACAGTACTTTCTGCACTTACGTACATGGTGCGAAATAAAGCACGAAAGTGGTCCTATCTCGGCAAACATTCCCACCTGGTAACATTAAAATTAGATCACGCATTTTAATAAATAAATCGTACATACTTTATTTACTTGTCGAACTACGGCATCGAGTACTTCACCTTTAAACGGTCTGAAGACTATTGCTTTATATTTCACAGGGTATATTACAAAGCCTTGGCCAGGTAATATTAAACCGGCCCCAATGCTATCGATGGTCGTAACTGCAATGACAAAACCATATCTGTGGACAAACAAAGTTAAAACCCTGTCTCAATCAAAAGGTACTACAGACTTTCCTGTGCACGTCCCTTCAACTTCGGTGTAAAGTTTAGTCTTGACTTTTTCAAGCAGTTGTGGCCCAAAGTATTGCGGGTGTAAAAGAATTTCATGTTCCAATGATATCTGAAATTTGCAGTAATTTTAAAGCGAGTTCGTATGAACAATTAGCTATTTACGTGGTAAAACATGTTAGAAAACTAAGAAATAAACACTTGATTAGAGGTTATGCATACAACTATGTTTTGTGAGGTTAGAATGCATACCAAAGGCGCATTTGTTTTGAAATTATACGTATACCGTGTGCGTCAACCTTATGCGTTCTTTGCCATGATTTCCAGATTGTATTATTTGTTGATAATTATCTTACAGAATTTATGAAATATATCCTAGAGCAACGTTAAATTATGCAAAACAAAATCGTCCGCCTTTGCTCACAATATTGATAAAGTGAAATGAAGCGCGACGGTACAGAGAGCATGAGCATCATAGACATCATAAATGTCTACGCTGACATAGCGAGTGAGCAAATAAGTATATTCAGTTACCCTTTACCTCAGAGACACTACTGCTTTGTTTTGTTGTGTATTGGAGGTATAATTCATATTTTTAAAAAGAATATAAATAAATGTTCCAAGAAACTTAAACTACTGGTGTTTTTTGTGACAACGCCGAATAAATTAATGTGGTTACAAAGAACAGTATTGGTCATTTAAAAGTAATCCCTATGTCTACTTCTAAATGAATAACACTGTATATTTCACGATTGCCCAAAGTCGTTTGATGTGTGTATTTTGTACTAACTTGTTTGTAAACTAAGATTTTCGGTTTGTACCAGATTGTCACTGGGGTGGCAGAAGCTGTAACCAAATGAGTTACGGTACTCCATACTGGGGCCGATGCCGTGAAGTGTAAGCTTGAAACCCCATAGAGGCACGAGGTATCTATCTCAGGGGTGAGAATCTGCTTTAAAAAAATCTTCGGTTTAGAATCTATGTGTGATATATGAGTTGCGATTCACAATTATTTCCACATATTTTGTCGTAATATTGAATTTGCCATGTAATTTTCCGCCTTGCTCTCTTAACAGAAGGATTTTATTACGCAAAAAATGAGTCAGGTCGTCCTGTGTATTTCACCGGTTTTCAGAATCTTGGTACCTGCTTGCCTGACCCATTGTTGCCCAAAACTTCTTTTAACCTATATGTCACCTCTACATATGCTCCATATTTTGTTGTTATAATTTTATGTTATGCATTTTCCAATCCTATTTTTATTTTTATTCAGTGAACTACCATTTTCAAAGTTTATTCTTGCAATGTAATTTACTTCGAGTTAAATTTTCGAGCTTTCACAATCTTAATATATTAATAATAATACTAAACAATCATTATTAAAGAAACTTTTCACAATTTCAGTGTAATATATCGGTTCTTTGGCACAAATAATAGTATCGTCATTGTTTAAAAACGTTGATTTAAAGAATGGTATCGTATCGGTTCCGGATATCATAACTTCCCGAACAACGGAACAACGATTCCGTTTCCAAGTGAAAGGGCTATAAATGCAATCTGTTCCGGTTCTAACCCCTTCTCAGCAGTTTATTAGTAGTGTCATTGAATTAATAATCATTATTATTATTACTTAATTCAATGGTAGTGTTTAGCCATTGGGTGCGTTCACCAGAACCAACTGTTTGCAAACCGTTTGCGCTTTTTATATAAGCATATTTACTGAACGCATTGCTAATTGTCAAACTGTTTGCAAGCGGTCGCCAATTTTTTAATCATAAATTCAAACTCGCTGAAATTCACAAACGTTGATCGGGCATGCGCATTTGTCATAAGCGCGCAATTTGCCTGGAAACCACACGTGAAATTTAATTTGAGTGAATTTTGAGAAAACCGTTTTGTATTCTTTTTGTACATTTCAATAAAAATACCTTTCTACAGTTTAAATATATCCTGCTATACGAGATGAATTGAATTGTCCTATACGAGTAGAAAATCAAGATTGGAGTATTAAATGCATATTCACTGGATCCTTGAGTAAATATTTTTTATCCATAAATTGTACCTGCTTTATGAGAAGTTTTTATTTTCAGATTGTTACATTTAATAAATTTAATAAACTCACCACATAAGTATAGTCATTTTAAGGAAAGAGTTAAGATTTGTATAGGTGAAAAACGTATAGTTATAGCAAAGAGTAACCATTCTTTGGTTATAGCAATTATGGTTACTCTTTGGTTATAGCACAGATATACGACGTATAATCTGTGGTTATAGTGTTGCAAGGCAGGGTTTGATGGCCAGCAATCTACTAGGAGACGAGCAAATCGTTCGTGCCGTTTTGGAGCCTTCATAAACCGCATATGAAGGGGTCCGTACAAGTCCAAATGAAATCCAGAGCACTCAGCCAGTATCAGTTATAGGTTATAGAGATACTTGTGGTACCCTAATTAGATTTGAAAAGAAGTTTAGTGTGGAACGATTTCACTACAAAGTTATTACTCGCCGAGTATTTCAAATTTGACATTCGTCAAAGGGAGGCTGAAGTAATACTGTTAAAATATCTTCTTTTTTTGTCTGGCAACTTTGTCGTGGGCAGTGTACGTTCGCAGTTTCTTGCGTTTTTACGGATTAACAGCACCATTTATTGATAGGAAAAAGCTCTATCAAATGACACAAAAAGTAAAAATGACTTCCATAAGAAAAAACAAAGCTGATGATGGTTAACCGGAGACGAAACGTCAGACTAAAAATTTAAAACTAGCATCTTGTATATGGAAAAAAGTGGTCACAATTATGCGCCGTTTATTTTGAAATACCTATCTTTTTAAATAACTTATTAGGAACAAATAAAAACGATTTTGTAAAATGTTTTTTTTTTCTGGATATCTCCGAAAGTAGTCGGAATTTTTTCAGTTTCAAAACGACATTTGTTAAGCATCAAACTACTCAACTTTGCCAACCTCTTTTTCTTACAGTTCCCGAGATCCCCATAGTGGCCCTCGAATTTGAATAAGCCTGCATACATGGAATGCTCCCTTCTTCATTCATAATTAAATTATTCGATTTATCTCTTACAACTTTAAAGTGCATTGGGAGCAATGTGCAATTATCCAATTTTTGGTCGTGATGTATAGGTACTAGTAATTTACTCCAATTTCGCGCATAAACCTGTATGCCGATGGTTTAAACAAATATGCATGCCTTACAAAATTACAAACATGTTTGTGATTTTCAGCGAGTTTAAATTGCGATTCAAAAAATGGCGTCCGCTTGCAAACAGTTTAACAACTAGCAACGCGTTCAGTAAACGTAATTATCGAAAAAGCGCAAACGGTTTGCAAACAGTTGGTTCTGGCAAACGCACCCTATCGTTCACCTGCGCCTAAACAGTTTGTGTTTGCAAACGTAATCAAAGCGTAAACACGTTTGGTTCTGGTGAACGCACCCAATGTCCCTGGAGCGCTTGTTTCTGCTGAATGCAACCCATAACTATTTATTGTCCTAACGCTAACCTCAATTCCTTCGTCAACAACAACACAAGAATTTTTTTTTTTTGCTTAATGAAAACATTAATATTAATTGTCTTTTTAAATTATTTATATAAATGGATAATCTACATTCATTAAACATTGAAAAGATCTGCCGTGTTTGTTTATTGGAAAAGACCGTCCTTACACCTCTGTTTGGGAATAATTTAGCAAGTATGTTAATGGAATTGACAGCAATAAATGTAAATGTTCACACTAGCAGTACATTTTTACCTAATACATTTATTCAAAGGTTGAGCAAGATGACAATTTACCTAAAGTTGTGTGTGAATTGTGTGCCAATGAAATCGGCCATTGGTACACATTTAAACAGCAAGTGAGAAGTAACGATTCGATTTTGAGATGCATTATGTTGGAAAAACAGAAAATCGAACGTCATGAGTATATTGCACAGAATATCGTTACTACATCTGATGCAAACATAGATCTGAAACCGAATGATTCGTTTCAAGATGGTGTCCCTGATAACTTTACTTGTGATACTTGCAAAAAACAATTAAAAACGATCCATTCATTACGTAGACATGTTAAAATACATTCTGGAGAGAAACCTCACAAATGCACAATTTGCAATAAGAGTTTTGTTGAACATGGTAATTTAACAAAACATTTACGCAAACATACGAAAGATAAAAAGCACCAGTGCAATGTGTGCGGTCTTCGATTTTATGAGAGGAACAAACTTGTAATACACATTCGGACGCATACTGGGGAAAAACCTTTCACTTGTAAAGTGTGTTCTCGTCCTTTTGCTACTCCAGCTCAGGTGAACGTACACATGAAAGTAAGTGTAAGTGGAAAAACATGTTCTCGCATGTCTGTGTGTAAATGGATGTTTTTTTTTTCTTTTTTAGTTGCTTCAAACTCTGTTGTCTGTTCCCATTTGTTCCACTTTGCTATAATCTTACTGCCATATGTTTGCAGTTTTTGGTTTGTTCTCATTATCTTCATCAATTTTGATACAATTTTTCCATACTTGTTTCTTTGCTTTGATTTATGAGTTGATTTACTAATTTCTTGTATTCCATTCTTGTTCTTGATTTTTATATGTTTTTTTAATTGCCTCATAACACTATCTTTAATCTACTCTCTTTTGTTTTTTACAATAGTTTCACATATTTGCGTACAACTTTTCTATATTTTTTACAACCTGACTATGTGCTGTTTTGGAATGCGAGTGACCTGTCAGAATCTACACCAGTGTTACAATGTTTGTGTATATCTGTGTTTACAATATATACAATGCTCACTACTGCCATAGGTATATAATCAATATCGAATCAATATGGGCTGCTATATATACCGGACGTTTTTGTACGCGTTTATGTACGTGCATTCAAAAAGGTGCACTATCACAACTGTCTCTTACACACTTACAATTCCGCAGTATTTTGAGCGATGTCAATAAAGAGTTAATTGATTCGGCATTGGGAGCAGTGGCGTGCAAAAAAAGAAATAAGCAAATTCAGTTAATATTATATAACAAAAGAACACTGCAGTTTACCTGATTATCTAATTCTGTGATTCAAAACAATTGCGTATTCAAAAAGGTAACGTTTTCTGCATATACACGTTTCTGTATGTGCTTTTTTGAATGCACGTATGTGTACAAAAATGTCCGTCTGTAATAGGACTCGTCCTTAAATAAAATTTCTAAATCCGAGTGCAGGTGCAGCTTTTGCTATTATTCATTTTTTTTAGTCGCACACTGGAGACAGACCTTACACGTGTGATGTATGCCAAAAATCCTTTCCATACAGTGGCTCTCTAGTCATCCACAAGAAAATTCACAAAGGCGAACGATCTTACAGTTGCCCCGAATGCAAGAAATCCTTTTCACAGAAGGTAAACTTGGAAAGTCACATTCGCACCAAGCACACACGCGAGTGTCCATTCTTATGTGAAGAATGTTGCAACGCTTTTCCTACTAAAGAACAACTTAAGAATCACATCCGCCACCATACGGGCGAAAAGAAACCATTAAATCACATTTGTTCGGTGTGCCACAAACAATTTAGCACATCGGGAGAGTTGAAAATTCATTTGAGGATACACACTGATGAAAGGCCGTATCAGTGCGATTTTTGTGGCAAAAACTTCAGAGCGTCTTCCCACATGACTTCGCACAGACGAATACACACTGGTGAGAAGAGGCATATATGCAAGTATTGTGGGAAGGCGTTTAGAGAATCTTCCACTCTTAAAATACATGTTCGGATTCACACAGGGGAACGTCCATATTCTTGTCAAATTTGTGCTACAAGTTTTACACAAAGAAATACGTTGAATATGCATATGAAAATTCACAAAAATCGAATTAAGACGTCAACGGAAAACATGTAATACCTACTAATATGATATTGCGTATAAAAAATGTAGAAAAATTGTTATGATCTCTTCTGATATAATTATTGTTCATAATTGTTTTAATTTTATGTAATAGATTAGATAATCGTTCAATGAATACATTTTACAAGGTGATCATTCAACCTCCTGCAAAGAGACACCCAATTTAACAATCTTTAATGATTCCTATGTACTCAATACATACAAAAGAAACTAAGACCAAGAACGGTGACTTAATTAACGCACGTAACGAACAAGTAGAATGCCCACCCGGCGACCCACTTGCTTCATCCTTTTACTCTCTTATATCCACCTAAGCAGTATCGCTCACACATTAAAAATGTGTAAATAATCATATATAATACCATGAGTAGTCGAAGTACTGTCGATTATTTTTAAGGTGCTGCTGCACTCATGCTAGTTACGCTAAATAATACCACGAGCGCTTGCGCCAGTGGTATTAAAAAGCGTAACTAGCATGAGTGCAGCAGCACCTCAAAAATAATCAACAGTACTTCGACTATGAATGGTATTCGAAGCCCTATTCAATGAATCAAAAGAAACTTTACATTATGTCCATGACGACAATAAACGTAAAAATAAAATACGGAAGTTGTTTTTCATTTTGCTATAGATTCTATTCTTTTGTGCTCAAAATCAAATTAAAAGATGCGTTGATAAATAATCGGTTGATCTGTTTAATAAGAAAAAATTGCGCGACATTTCACTGATCAAAGTGTGACAAATCAATTAATCGCTGTAATTACCACACTATAACGTTCCCATTGGCTCAGTAATTTGAAATCGCAGCATTTCTTTGGTCCAAGTGTCACAAATGTCAGGCTTTCTTTATATTCAACACCAATGACGCAAATCCTCCAGGTTAAGGCGAATATGCCAGCAAGCTTTTAAACTGCGCAGAATATTTTTGAAAGCTTTTATTACACAAATATCTTATTTATCTTACACAAAAACTTAAAAAACGATACATTTGAATGTAATAGTAATACTATATAAGCATTTAAAAAACATTACTTCTTTCTAGATCTGGAGTAATCGGTTTTCCTCTCCCTTTTCTTAGGCACAGTGTCAAGGGCCAGCGTTCCAATGTATGGAGCTATAAGTTTGTCGATTTTACTATCTGGCATAACTCCCTCATCAATCTCTTCCAATTTCTCTTCCAAAAGTTGCGATTTAATATAAGCCTTTTTTCTACTCTCCACTGGATCTTGGAAACTATCCACATCATAATCAATTGTTAATGCATCAATTAAATTGGACATCGCATTTTCCTGGACTTCAGTTGTATCATTCTGTCGTTCTTTGGCGATGTCATAATGGATTTCTGGTGCGAAAGGTAATATTTTCACGATAAATTGGCGCACATTATTAATCAATTTTGGAATGAGTTCGACGAAACGGACATTGCTGGCTTGTTTAAGTTTTTGAAAGCAAACCAAACATTTATCGTTATCTCGACAGAACTGCCAAATGCTTTCGAATAATTCTTGCGTTTCATTTGCATGCTTTTTCATTAAGTATGGAGGAGTTAACACCCAACCGGGTTGGAGTGTCGACTTGTTTACACATAACAAGGTATATCCGACAGGAACACTAGTTTCACCCAGGATTTGACGTTCCCCTTTGCTAATTACCAAGCCAGACCCGTCTTTTTTATATATACACACGTAACTATCGGCGTTGCTCTGTTTTACAGTTTTCTTAACTTCTTCTTGAGTGTCTCGAGTCACGTGCATGTTTTTCATAACTCTATTTGACACTGTTGGCTTGCTAACGCTCACTTCCATGTATCTTTCAAAGTCGCCATTAAAAGGATAAAACTTTACCTTTTTTTGATTGGTCTTCTTCCTAATTAAATAAGACAACTTTTGTTTTAAGTTCGAAGAGTTCACTTTTTCAACCGGTTCACTCTTGGAAGCTTCCAGTACTTCAGAATAAAAATTTCTCCCCTCAAATTTCGGGTTAAATGTAACGACAATTAATTTGATATCGATGCTAGCAAACTTTTGGGATTCGTTGATGACCTTAAATCTTCTTTTATGGTCACTTCCTAAAGGATTGTCATCACACGTGACATATATTACAGTTTTCTTGTACGCTTCAGTTTTAACGTTCATCAACTTGTTTTTACAAAGCAGAAAGAAATCTGCTAGATCAAAATTTCCCTTACGTTCAAAATTTGACTCTAGCTCGCCTTCAGACTGATCTTTCGTACTTTTCAATAATTTTATTACATCTGGAACGGGCTCTTCGAATTCTACAAAGTTACTTTTTTTTGCATCGTTGTCGGCTAAGGCAATACCAACTGGGCCTTTTATTGACTGTTGACCGGATAATGCGATTGAGTCGATAATGTTATAACACGCATGTAAAGTGGCTCTAAATGGAGTGGGTTCGGAGTCTTGGTAATTTTCAAACATAGACTTATCTGTATCAATTGCAATTAATACATAGGATGGTTTGTATTCAATTGGTGTTTCTGTTGTGTTTGTGTCGTCTTCAAAGTCAGAATCTTGCCATTCATCCTCGTAAGCATCCATCTGCAAAAGAAAATAGAAGAAATGTGCAGGTAGATATTTAATATCATATGCAGAAAATTAAGCAGCATCGGGGCGCCCTACCAGAACGTCTAGGAATAAACGAAATATTTTCTCTATAAATTATTTTTATTGTGATCGCATGTAAATTGCTCATAAAAATCAAATAGGTCCTTAATTACTCACTTTCAGAAATTACTTTTTGTTGCTGTGCTGTGTTTTGCCGGGTAAATATCTATCTTTGACATTGATATATAAACATAACCTAACATTTAAAGCTCTATACAAGGTATTGCCATAGTTTATGTCAAACTCTGGTAATGTACGAGGTGGAGCATCCGTGTAGTCAGCACCCTTCTTAATGATCGTCGGCTAAAGCGCACCATCGGATTAAATAATTTTATCAGTTACATCTGTCCTATAAAAAAATTGACTTCCGGCTGATTTAAATGGGAACTAAAAAAAGATGGTCATTCAAAATAGTTCTCTCCAGATCGCATTAACTAAACACTTTATCAAGGTAGATAAACATTTAACTATAAACATGTAACATTAAAAATAATAGGTATATAATAATTATAGCAGTTTTCTAACTCAATGGTTCCATTATTTTCCCACAAAACAACAACATCGCACCATGATTGTAAGATCACAAAGAATGGGTGGTTCACAACAAATCTAACTTTTTGAGTCTTGATGGGAAGAGACCTGAAGAACGTCCCAATCGCAACTACAACAAAAATGAAATGCCAATTAAAACTATTTACATAAAAAACTTCAAATGGAAGGGAGCTGAATAGAAGAATACAGGGTGACCAGTTGGTTATTATAATGACGGAAAAGCAATGGAAATAGCGTTATTCAATGCGCTCAACTGAATAGCACTAACGGTTGTACTGCTAGTGAGCATGTTAAATAGAATGCCCTTATTGAGATTTTATCTTTTTTAAATCTACGAGAAATTTGAATAGGTATATTTTTATAATGGATTGTTCTACTTAATCCTGTTATAAACACTGCAACTAGAACAAATGACGTTTTACTTTTAATAAAGACGTTATTTTTGTACCAAGGGCATTAGTTTTTTCAGTTTAATAGAACTGAGGATCATGGCTTAAATAAAGTTCATAAAAACACAATGATATCCGATATCGTGCTGATAGATTAAAATAATACAGATTTGAAAATAAGCTTATTTATTCATAGTTTTGCCATATGTACCTATACCTATAAATATAACATATGTAATATAAAAATAACAAAAATAGGTACACAGTTGTTTACAAGAATGGTTCCATTATTCTTCCACAAAACAGCGATATCGGTGCTGGATCACACTCAGATTGTAGAAGGACAAAGAATGGATGGTCCACAATAAAGCTAACTTTTGGTAGATTCATGGGACGTGCACACTTGAAAGCCATGATGACACCTACAACGAAGAGATATATGAAATACACACAATTTACCTATTTAATGGATCATGGAAGTGAACAAAAGCTGTACTTAAATACAGGGCGTTCAACAATTGATGAGTTGATTATTATATGAGAGACTAAAAGAAATATATTTGATTATTTTTTGTACCATTTTGTAGGCAATGTAAGCATGAGCACATTCTCGCTTATAGAGTTTGATAATAAACTTGAACGATTAGACTGCACATTCTCATCTCTTGCTCTTAAGCAAATTTAGTCTACTTATTTACGATCGTTACAAAACCATTATACTATACCTCGTACCAGCATGAGGAGTAACAATCAATATAATATGAAGCATTTGCATAGATGTGGAAACCCATTAGTAAAGAATATACCGCATAACTAATAATCCTGTAGAAAGGTTGCTTGTTAATTCTGTTACACGGAGCTGGGTAAACAACTTATTGGTTGGTGGATGCTATTACTACAATGGATGCTATTACTACAATCCAATTTCTAGCACGTTGGGGTCACTATTTTCCCACAAAACAATGTTATAAGCGCTGGTTCACAATCTGATTGCAGGATCACAAAAAATGGATGGTCTGCAATAAAGCTAATTTTTTGAGGCTGCATGCGAAGAGCGCATCTCATGCTAATGACCATACCTACAACAAAAATAAAGACGTTAAATAGGTATTTACCCAATATAATTGAAATTCTTAAAAGGATGGTAGTGATATGTGTTAATTTGTTAACATATAATTATGTAGTGTGCCTTAAAACTTAAGGTTACCATTTGAGGTACCTAATTTTCAGCTACTTAAAATCAGTCAGAAGAGAGTAGATATACAAGGGCGAATCTGGCTCAGTTCAAGGTTTCTCGCCACCTGGTGGTGACTTTGGAGAGTAGGTCAAGGTGAAGACTTACATATAACACAACTTGCTTTGCTTTCAAGTACACCATCTGGTGGTCGTTTAACAGTTGGGCGCTAATTGCTCTCCATGTAATCAGGTTCCATTATCCTGCCCCAAAACAGTGGAAGAATGGAATCCGATAGGCATGACGAAATTGTAGCAATAAAAGGATGATCAGCGATAAAACTTATTCTTTGTATTGGCGGAGGATCACTGCATTTCGCTCTCTTCACTAAACCTAAAAACCAGGTTTAAATAATTTAATAATTCACGCACAATCCTTTGAACAAAAAGTGAAAAAGCTACAACTGTTTTTTGGGCAATAAAAGGAAAATAATTTTTCAAACTGAGCATGCGTATTACAATACATAATTGCGTAGAATACTTAATTTAGCTTTAATTCCACTATTTGAAATTGCTTAGGATATCGAGTATTATACTATAAATAAATAATGACGTCTACGTCTCTTTTTGGGTTTTCCCTGATATCTTTAAATTTTTTATGGCATACTTACCTGCTAGACCCTGACATACACATGACAAATTATCTCTCTAAATGAGTGTATAAGTACTTGAAAACCAGATAAAGAAAATGGGCCGGGGCTCCTTTACTGAAAAAGTCTTTATACAGACTACTTAAAATTGGCTCAAGCTGATAAGAATGCACTCTTAATGAACATAAAAAGAAAACTCATGACAAGTTTATGAAAAAAACACCATTTTTAAAAAATGATGAATTCCTTAAACTATAAGGATGCTTTTGCGTTGTGGCGACTTGACCCATAAACGTGTAAAGAACCTAAGTAGTATGGAATTTCATCCTACCTATTTGTTTTCTAAATATGAAAGAAAAAAACAAAAAACGGACTGTCTTTGCGATTATGCAGCTCTGTTTCAACTCACACTCTACACTCTCTTTTTAGCATTCTTTGATTGGACTATATAGCACTGTTAGTGAACAAAAATCAAAGAGCGGGTTCTATGCACAAGACTAACTTACTCTAAGGATAATTGAAGGGGCTATTTTAAAGTAATCTCAAATTCGCAATATGTACAGGGTAGCTCAAAAAACGAAAAAGCGCTTTCAGGTAGTCAAAAATGAATTTTTGAAAAACCTGACCTCCCCTGAAATTGGGGTCATAGTTACATTCACCTTCCCAAGGCGCTATCACGAGGTACCTATTGTTTGTGGTGTCGACAATCATTTCTACGTGCAATGACAATAAACCGAAATAAGACAAACAAAGCAGAAATCCATAATACAGTAAATATACGAGTCTGTTTGAAACTTTCGCCTTTCAATTGTAATTTGTAATTAATTGAACCCTCACTCTAAACTTCTGATTTATTCGTAGTACGCTCGTACCGTTATAGTTTTTACTGAAGGATGGGCGCGCACCACAATTTAGTACTGTTTGTTTTAGGCAGAAACATTACAATATTGCTAAGTAAATGAATACCTGTTACCCTTCCTTCACTATTTAACCACTTTTCCCATAAACATAACCAATGGACCTGCTGTTAGTAACAGCACAAAAGGATGGTCAATTCGTACGCGCTGAATGTAATTGACTCGCGGGGGACCAGAAAAGCAGGTAAAGGCCATTCCTGTAAAATAATAAAAATTTGAAATCAGTTATTACCTTAACACTAATCAAATTTAAGACTCCTATAGTATGAGATATAGGTAAACAAGTAAATTAAAAAAAAAAACTACTATAGTTGAAAAAAACTAGTCACTTGCACGATTTGGGAAAATAAGTAACTAAGTATATCTTAAGATTAATGAAGTTTCCGCCATAAATACATAGTTTCATCTGAGAGCTGTACCGATAGAATTAAGCAGAAATAAATGGAGTTTAAAAACTTATAAGTATAACCGATTCTCAATCTATCACTAACTGTCAATGCCCCTGTGAACGACTGATATACAGGGAGATTCACGTATCCGTGGTTGTTAATATAAAATAATTTCGCTTTCGTAAATACCGGTATTAAGTGTGCGCCATCTTGGTTTTTTTAAAATAGAAACATACCCATTTTCGATATTTTCTAAATGCACGATTTAATTTTGAATTCATCGAAATTATGATTTAAGTACTGTCATAGTTTTTGACGTACCTTAATTGTTCTCTAAAAATCGGAAGATGCAAGGGCCCATTCAAAAATTCATTTCCGCTCAAGACAAGCGAGTGCTCTTTTGTCAACCGAGTTCAGAGCATTCTGTCACACAGCCAACGGGCATTATATAAGAGCGCATCGATTAATTTTTTGTTGATCTCTTAGAAAGTTACGTTTCAAAATCGACGTGGGTAACAGATGGTCGGTTAAATTTAGAAATTTGCAGCTATAGGAAATGTGTTACATGTACCGCTTCATAAGAAAAGAAAACAAAACTCATATTCGAGAAAATAAAGCGCAGTAAGATAAGAAACGAGTGTTTAAGCAGATCAAAGTCGAAACATTACAGTGTTGCCCGTTCTAAAAACTGTCGCTATGAAGCATGAGCGTGGTAAAAACAAAGCATCATGTTGTTTTTCAGATCATAAGTGGAGCTAAAGAACCAACCTTCCGCAAAGTAAGAGTCATTGAACATTTATTCATTACTGAGCTGGCTGTGGTACCGTCATCTGGGGTGAGGCGGACAGTAGGGGCCAAAGCGGACATAGACACGTGTTTTGTAATTCCGTCAAGGGCATCTTACCGGTTTGGTATTTTTCCGCGGTAAGTTGCCGAATCGGGCCAGTAGTGAGTAGCTATTGTATGTGTGAGGTGGTTGAGTAAACAAAAATTTTTCAGGGACCTACAGGTAAGAGATTATATAACTTCGGTTTTTGTCAACTTCCCAAACGTTGAAAAGAAACAATTGCCCATAAAAAACGTAAAGGCGTATAAAATTTGTTTTGGCTTTAAAATGTTCACTGATGTGGAGTTAACATTTGTACGAATAATCAAAATCACAATGTCTTTAGTTTTTGTTTAATCAATTAATATATAAATAATTGTCATTAGGTGGGGTGAAGTCGGACACCATGGTTCGAGTTTACAAGCACAAAATTGGTATAAATTTCATGAATTATCGGGAGGAAACCCTAAAAAATGCTCTTGCTGACATTAAATCGGGCAAGAAAACTATAAGGCAGGCTGCAGAGTGCTACAAAATTCCAAAATCTACACTGCATGACAAAATTAAAAAGAAAAAAACAAAAAAACATGGAGGTCAAACTAAACTTTCTTCCGAAGAAGAAAAAATGATTGCAGATGGCATCATCAAATTTTGTGAATGGGGTTTCCCCATGACTCGCGGGGATATAAGATTGCTTGTAAAGGGTTACCTTTACGGGCAGGGTAAAAAAATTAAAATCTTTAAAGACAACTTCCCTGGTCCAGAGTGGTTTTATAAATTTCTTCAAAGACAAAACATTTTAACGGAAAGATTTGCGCAAAATATTAAGAGGTACAGGGCTAATATATCAAAAGAAATAATAACAGAATATTTTCAAAACTTAGAAGAGAGCTTGGACGGTGTTGAACCTACTCATATTGTCAACTACGATGAGACAAACCTGACACATGATCCAGGTAGACAAAAAGTTCTTTGTCGAAGAGGTTCTAAAAGGGTTGAAAGAATCATGGATGTTAGCAAATCAAGCACTTCGGTAATGATGGCAATCACTGCAGCTGGACATTTACAGCCTCCCTATGTCGTGTATAAGGCTGTACATTTGTATCCCACGTGGATAGAGGACGGCCCCGAGGGAGCGATGTACAACCGAACCAAGTCAGGCTGGTTCGACGCTATGACTTTTGAGGATTGGTTCGACAAAATTATCCTTCCGTATTTTAGAAATCTCCTTGGGAAGAAGGTGCTAATCGGAGATAATTTAGAAAGTCACATTTCACTCCATGTTTTAGAAGCCTGTGAACAACATAGTATCAACTTTGTGTTGCTTCCTCCCAATGGAACACATCTTCTACAGCCGTTAGACGTGGCGTTTTTTGCACCTATGAAGAAAGCGTGGCGTGAGATATTAAGAGAGTGGAAAAACAAAAATAGAGGGTGTATACCCAAATCTGATTTTCCCCGCTTGTTCAACAAGTGTATAAAAAATATAGAAAACATTGAAAATAACATTAAGTCCGGTTTTAGAGGATGTGGAATTATCCCACTCGATCCAAATGTGGTTTTAAGTAAAATACCAGATGTCGATGCCAGTCAAGAGCAAGATCAGCGGCAAAATGAGAAGCACTGGACAACAACGTTACAGGAATTTCTGAAAGAAAGTCGGTTGGCGGCAACGCAAGATCTTCGTCCAAAGCGAGGTAAAAAGTTAAAGATCGCACCTGGAAAATCAATTGGACGCAAAGATTTGGAGGCTCCATCCACCAGCTGCGCTGACCATATAAACAGCGACTTAGAAAAAAATAGTGAAAGAGAAGATGAGACTGAATCAAACGATGACGATCTAGAACTCGAAGATGTGACTGATGGTGATGAAAAGGAAAACTGTGGTCAAGAGGACTTAGAGACTGATGCGGATTTAGTATCTAATGTTATACAGGGAACTTTTGTGTTAGTGAAATTTAATTGCCCTAAGAATGCCCATAAATATTATGTTGGGTGTGTCTCAGAAATTGTTGATGAAGCCAAAAACGTTTATTATGTTAATTTTTTAAGGAAACAACAATCAGAGAAAACTGGGGTCCACTTTGTGTACCCCAATACCAAAGATCAGAGCTTAGTAGAGGGCCCCCAAATTTTTCAAATTATCAAGGATGTCAAATTCTTAAGACGCGAGAGATTTCAATTTCCCAGTTTGAGGAAATACGATGTTAGAATCGAATGAACAAAAAATGTTGTTACCTAGGTACCTACTCAAATATTTTTGACTTTCGACCTTAACAAATGCCAAATATTTTTGATTTTTAGACTTTTTAGAAATAGATTTTATTTTTTAAATGTGTTATGGTCTTTTATAATATTGAGTTGTATTTTCAAATTATGTTTTTGTATTTTTGAGAATAAAAATAAGAGTTTTCGTTATGTAAATTGCATTTTTTTTGGATTTTTGTGTTAAAAAACATATTTATAATTTTTTTCTGTCCGAATTCGCCCCATATATAGTGTGAAGAATAATTTACAGGCAAATTAAATGGGTGTCCATCTTCACCCCACACATAGGGGCGAAGGCGGACAACATTAGACCAAAAAAAATAGGGGTTGGGGTAACATTTTTCTTCAAAAGCTATATGAAATCACATTCTACAAATATGGAGGTGTATACATTAATTTTTTTGACAATTTTTGCCCTAATGGCGTGGGACTAATCTATAGAAAAATCCAAAAACTGTCCGCCTTCACCCCAGATGACGGTATTAAATATTTCATTACAAAAAAATAATTGTTTCCAGTGCGGTAGAGAATAAAATTTATTTTCTACAAGAGGAATCAATGATTTTTTCACAATTTCCTCTTTGTTTGAAAACACATGATGATTCTTCACAAAAAATTAAAAGATACGTTAATTGGTGTGCCGTAAAATGAGGCACTTTTTGTTAACAGAACCCTCATGACAGAGAATACAGAATAAAACATGGTACATACACCCATTTCAGGTATGCAGTTCCCAGAACAACGTTAATTAATTGTTTCAAGTAATCGTTAAAACCAGGTTCATTTAATTCAATAAAAAATATAATTGTTGCTTATAGTATGTTAAAAAGTGAAGGATACTTACTATATGTATATACTTCAAATATTACAGCTCTTTGCTTAATAACAGGTAGACATCGAACTTTAAATAACTGGATTCATCACTTTGCCGGAAAACAGCACAAATTTTGTGTCATTGTGGCGGTAATTGACCAAAATTAAAAATTTGTGATCAACATGAAACTCTATTACACCACAATCGAATTGTATCCTTAAATCTAAAAGAATATACAACAGGCAATAAACAGGTAACAAATGTACATTAAAATGGTTTAAGGAATGGAACTTGCCAGTTTGATAGAAAAATATTCATAGAGTACTAGCGAAGAAATTAAGAATGAAAATGTAAAAGAACAAGTGTTTAAATATGCTGACAGGTTAATAGATAATTTTACCAGTTTAAACAAATACAATATCTGACCAGACATGACTGGCTGAAGCATTACAAAGTTGGTAACGCATGCGCAAACATATAGCAACGAATCCAGTTGTCTCATGCACTTTGCACTATCTTTCCTTCTTACCAGCACCATAAGTCAGTAAAATGATCAGGTTTGATTGTATCTGTAGTTACTCCAAATTTAAAATTCCCCATGTTCTTACCAAATGCCACTTACCTTCTTCTGAGAATGTTGCCTTTACTTGTGGTATATTGTACTCAATAATGATTTCAATCCCAGGAGAGAGATCCAAATATCCAAAGTAGGCGTTACGTCATTAACCCTAAATTTTGACCTTTCATGATTAGTAACACTGAAGTTACTGCCTTCTCAGTTTTATGTTAATTGCGGCCAAATGATTTTAGATATATGTCTAATACATAAAGTCACACTAAAATTGACCAAGAAATCGAACTATGCAGTAATATACAGGGGGCTCTATTAAAAAAATGCAACTTTCATATAAATCACCATGTATAATAATTGCAATTTTGTTGAACATATTACTTAAGGGTCTTTCAACCTGCCCTGACAATGAATTGTAAATATGTGCGTTTACCCACAATCTGCCACCCAAGCACTAATGGCCCAACCTGTATAAAAATCATCGTTTTATAGTTCATGAAACTGTGTGATTTAGAACAGATAGATCTCTGAACATAATGAAAATTCTATCACTTCCCTAATTATCAAAATTTTATAAAACTAAAGCAAAAATTCAAAAAAAGCCTTTATTGTCAATAATAGAAAAATAAGAACATCGATTTCACTTTTGGTAAGTAGTACAAAATACATTTAAAAATTATAAATAATTATTCAGAATTAAGAAAAGATAATGTGTAAGGCGCATATAGAATACCTATGCCAAGCAAGGCACTGGGTCTAACTACTGAAGAATTAGAGAGTACACATAATACTGATAAATTAAAAATTAATCAAAGCTAGTATTGTTTATATCTTCTCAATAGTAGCACAATGAACAAAGGATGGTGAGTTACAAGCCGAATATATAATTTCATGCAAAGTGGTCCTTAATTTCTGAATAACCTTCACAACTAGTAATTACATTAAAACACGTCACTCATGGTCAGGGATTGCAATTTTCCCAACGAATAAAACAACATTCGATCCACCGTCACTGTATTGAAGTGAAATGATGAATGGATGGTCTGCTGTAAACGGTTCAATGATTGGCATACAACGCGCCATCATCACCATACCTTTGACATAAGTATAAAATTAATGATAATAATAATAATACAAAGGTTACTATAAGCGCAACATAGACAACTTAGCCAATCGGAATGCTGCAATTAAGGAAAATTTCGATTGAAAAATCCTCACTGCTATCAATATCACAGGTTAAAAGTAAGAGTATTATTTTTCCTCAATTCCATCACTACCTCGACAAACACATGACAGAATACAACATATAGGTAGACAATTTATAATTCGTCGTGTAAGTCTATTAAAAAATTTACATCCGTCAGTACTCTTCCAAAGAATAAAGTAATCGGATCGCTAAGTTCGGTCGGTTTTGTTGTAATTAGAAAAATGAACGGATGGTCAGCAACAAAACTCTGCTGTTCCGTTTCCTCTAAGCATCTTCGTCTTCGTACGTGTGCGCCTAGGAAGTTAGTTATTTAACATTTTATTTTTTACTGAAGTAGTAGGAATGATTATAAATTATCCAACTACTCTCGGAAGAAAAAAGTGCAACTAAAGTAGATAGTAGACACTACAAAGTACTAAAAACCAATTATTCCTAAAACTCTGAGATTGTTTTTATGGACACGCAATGTCTCCACACTCAATAATGAGCTGCATTTTGCAATTTGCCTAGTCATCTACATTTTCTGAAGGTTAATTGAATATTCTTGCCATTTTATTTTGTAAGCTTTCGAATTTTTTGTTTCCGATTTTATACAGGGTGTCCAAAAAGTTGCTGTGCAGCAACTGAAAACAAAATGTTTGATGCAAGTACGTTTCATTTTATTAATATTTATAAGTGCAGGTGTTCTCGATAGAGAAATTGCTGTTTTGTTGTGTGCTGTAATTCTGTTTTTAGTTTTTTTGCTCTGGAGTTGATTGTTTTCTCCATTATTTCTCCGATTACTACCGCTGACCTTCCCAGGCGGATTCCTTGGTGGCGCTTGAGTCATTCCGCCGACTTCACATACAAATTGCCGCCGTTTGTCGCTACTTTCGTCCGCTGGTGCGATTTATTTACAATTAATTTGTAAATTTATTTATTTTTTACTAAATTTCGCTAATTATATAGGTTCATTTTCATGCCATTTGTGCGCGGACTTACTACCGAAGTTCGTCGCAATATAACTGAAATACACTCTACGGTAGTTCACAGGTGATCGACTCAAATTTTTCTGACCGCTTTACTCTAATTTTCTCGAGGTTCACGATGCGAATTGTATTTCGATTTTTGTTCGCTTCACTTTACTTTTTCTAATTCACGCCCATTCCGTTATTTACACCGCCTCCACACAAAAAATTCATTTTTTCTAGCCAATCAGAACTCTTGACACCAATAACTTAACTCAACGTGGAGTGGAATCTCACTGAATGAGCAATTCACACGCTGCTTAGCAAGCTTCATAATGGTGGACAATATTTTAGTTAATTTCGTAATCTCCCAAGACTTCTCAGCGTCTCAAGCACTCACAAGCATTTGAAAAGTCAAGATCAGGAGCACAACGTACATAGATGACCGCTACCAGTTTTAATGACCACCCGGTATATATTGACGAATGGGCGCTTAATTACTAAGAAAACCGTAGGCTCCAGATTTATTTGTTTCTTCTAGGAGTGAGAAAAGTAACGTTTTAATTTGTAGATCCGTGTAACCGCTGATAAGGAAACTAATGGCTGTCCTTCCTGCACGCAACAGCAATTGAGAATATGGAACCAACTGCATTATTTGTGTTGCAGTTTTTCAAGATCCAAATAGTACACGCTAGGCGAAAGTTGACTTTTAGCAAGCAATGAACCTAAAATTGCAACAGTAAACCCGACTAAAACAAAGCAAACCTAACCAATTCTGTGTGCGTATGCGCACAACCAACTGTGTTATGTGTCAGTATTTTTTTTTTAATTTGTCCTTCAGAAAAATAGAAACAAAAAACAACACTACGTAGAGTGGGTATATGTGCAGAATCAAGTTTTTCATTATGGACCAATTTTGGCACAGGTTCCACCACTAGCCCATCAAACCCCATCAAAATCCGAGTACGGGCAGAGTATCTTTCAAATATTCCTATTCTGTATCACGAAAGGAGTTTTTAAAAAAATAAATGAATAAATCGTTCATGACAAAAATTGTTATCACGACCTTGCTCAGAAACCTATCTTTAAATGCCTTTACTAATATTTGTAGCGTTTTTGTAATTTGGTGAAATGCAGAGAATATTTTGAAATCAAGTGTTCAGATTAGTATCACAATCAAAAGAACTTTACTTCTGTATAACATCAACAAATTACTTGTACTAAATTTCCAAAATTAATAAAGCAGATATAAATAATAAGAAGACAATATACATAAGTTGTTCTAAAAATAGTGGCTGTTTATATAATCGGCTATTTTTGAATAAATCTTTATTTTACTTGGAAAGTTTCAGATTGTACGAATTTGTAAGCTAACAAGATTGAGAGTTTGACCTATTTTCATATTATCAACAATTGGCCAAATGTCTACTGTTAAATCAGGAATAGAATTAAGTTGTACAGAAAATCAGTCACTACTTAACGTGCAGTTATAGCCCTTAGCAGACAAACATAAAATGAAGCTAAAAGCTTATAATCAACTTGCAGAATGGAAAGAAACCAGAAAGGAAGTAAGAAAACACAAATGGAAACGTCTACTTACCGGTAGCTGCAGCAGCCTCGGCTCCTTCTTCGTTGACCTCAATAAATGCTTTCTGAATGGCCTTGCTGACGTATAGCTGCTCATCGCTGTTGGAAATCTCGGAAAAGTTTGCCTTCATTTGATCAAAAATCACTCCGAGACCCATCTATAACAAAAAGATGGCTAAACTTTAGTTCAGCTGCATTCAGAACTGAAATAACCATTGAAGAAATTTAGGATTTAAATCCGTGCCCTGACGGTAATGCCTTAATAGTTTTGTGGAGGGAGTTTATCTGGAAAGTGTGATTTATTTTCGCATAGTTGAAACTCAATAAAAGTTATTATTATTATTATTCTCAGGATACTGTCTTTAAAAGCCAAATAAAGTCGCAATAATGAAAAAGGAAGCTCAACAGTGATCGCGCATGCGCACATTATATGACTTGTCCGTGCCAGTGGAATAGCACTGCAAGAACGGAGTCGAAGTACTTCTCAAACTAGTCAAAGTACTCGAAGTACTTGTCAATGTACTAGTACTTCCAAGAAATTGATTTTATCTTTCATCGAGCCTTTCATGGTATTATAATTAACAGTATCAACGAAAGGAACTGTTTTCTACCAACAAGCGCCCTTCTCCCACTCTCCTTATCAAAATTGGGTGGAGGATTGGTTTTTTCCTTCATGGTACTCTAAAGTCTAATGAAAGGTCTTAACGAAAGGAATTCATTTCTACCAAAAACACTTCTCCTCCTTGACCCCTTATCGTGATCGGTTATAATTCCTCATATCTCAAGAACGTGTCAGAGGAGGATTCTTTACAAAAAGCGATTGGAACAATTTTTTAAATTTATTTTTACTTGGTAATAATATCAAATAGTTTTACAGGTTTAGCTTTAGCGACTGAATTAAATGTAGAAACACGCCCCTGTTAATAGTTTTTAAGTAGTAGATACGTTGCAAATTTTTTATAATTTTTGATACAAAAGATTAGTAAACATTATATGTATAGTTAATTAACACACCTCCTTGACCACCTGTCAAAATTTTTTCAAAAAAGTTAATGGGCGCGCATGATTAGACCGGTGGAATTGTAATAAGTATGTATAGTGACCATGCTGTAAATATAGTACCGCCGAAGTTTATGAATATAATTTTTTTTTGTTTTTTTCTATAAAACAAATATATTTAAATATTTTTTAGGAAAGATCCTGGGTCAGATCCCAAAGGCAATTTTTTTGAACCACTGTTTCTGATATTTGACCAAAATCGTATTAACCATATTCTAAATTTATAGTGTTTTTAAATAGTAAATAGACCATACATTCATGGAGATTTTGTTTTGTTTATTGTATCCATGGTAACTAAGGCAGTCGATACCAACCAATAAAAATTGCTGACGGTAAAAAAATTGCCATTTCAAAATTAAAAAAAAATATAATATATAGTTATAGGTATAAAAAAATATAAGTTGTGATCATTAGTGTAATCAGGTAAAAAATCGGAAAAATTGACGTTAGGATGTAGGTATAGGGTGTTGCATTTACAAAATACTAACTCTCAGAAACAGTGGTCCAAAATTTTTTTTACTATACCACTGGATTCTGCGTAAAAATAACTTTTTTTGTTTTTTTTCGATCTACATGTTTCACAAAAAACAGCCGAGATTCTCAAACAAAATAGGACACACAGTATAAAAATCTTTAAATTAAACTTTTCTTCAAATTTGTCTTTACCAATGAAATTGTTGTAAGGAATAACTGCAGTACAAAAACAGTGTATGCGTGTCCTCATCACTTCGAGATTAAAACACACAGTTTAGTCCCTTGGTATATACTATATACCTAACATACTATTTCACGTGAAACAAAGTCGGGACTGAGAATTAGTGTGTGAAATTTTGTTTACAATTCAAAAAGGTTCTTTATGCAAATTGAGAACAAAGTGGGCATTCTTTAAAACAACCCCTGCGAACACGAACTTGTAAATTAAGATGGACTGCTGATCAAACAGTTGCATAGAGGTAGAAATGGCCCTAGCATGGGCGCTGCCATGATGTGCCCGTTTTAGTTATTTTCTAGGGGAATTTTCCTAGTGCTCAAGTTTTCAGACTATTGCAGCCTTGGAAAATGACATGTCACAGTAATTTATTTAGAACGCGTGAGGTTAATGCTTGTTTATTGGTTGATTTGAATTTCGCGCCAAGTAAGTGCACATCATGGCTGCCCCCATGTAGGTGTCACTTGTCAATTCAGCATTAGCAGTCCATCTTAATTTATAAGTTCGTGCCTGCGAACCAACAGAAAATTTATCATGCAGAACTACACAAACATAAAAATGTATAAAGCGGAATTTTTCTTACCCGTGTTAAAATAGACTGCAAATCCATAGTAGTTTCAACTTTAAATTTCGGCAAGGAAACCTCAACTTCCATACTTCGCATACCCTCCGAAAGAGTTGCAAAATCAACATCTACCAATTTTTTCTCCAATTCTTCGATCCCAGTTCGTTTAAAAGGCAAAATTATAACCATGCTGATATTCTCGTTTGTATATTTCATTTCTAGAATTTGCGCTTGTAAGTGATCATCAGCGCGATACCTAAAACGCCTAGTGAGGTGCATCATGTGGCAGTCAACACTTTCTGCTTCAGATATATAAAACTTCTCTTTCATAGTGTGTTCTTTTTTGAATTGTTGGGCCCAATTGCCTTTGAAATAAATTGCGTTAACAAGTACGAGTCGGGTCAATGCGTCCAAACAACCCGCATCGATTAAATCTTTGATTTTCGAATTTGTTTTGCCTTCAACCCAACCGTTGATTTTTCTAGCACTATTCTCACTTTCAGCGAAGTTGAGCGACTCAGTTTCAGAAAGGAATAACTCACTTGCGCTTTTTAAAAATTTTTCTTTTAAGGGAAAGCCTTGCATAACATAGATCTTATTCGCAATGTGTAACTTGACGTCTTTTATGCTATTCAGCGAGCTCATTACGTGATGGTAGCCAGTTGCCGCTATATTTTCGTTGCCGAGGTGCAGGCTGCTCGAAAAGGCGTCGGCGGTAGTTCCTGCGGCACCCTGATAGGCCATGCTGAGTACAATATGTGCACTAATTGGAGAAAAGAAGACATTTTTCCCCTTTTCCTCTTCGGCGAGAATATTGTAAAACTTATTGGCAAACTTCGAATTGCCCGTCACAACTTGTAGTAGTTCTGAATCGGCCATTATTTGTAGCAGAAGTAACAGAATGAACAAACGGAACGCTAAAACAGAATGGTATGAACTAACAAGCAAATAGCAGGAATTGTTCAGGAGGGCGTGAAGTTACTAAATACTGACTGGCATAGCAACTATTATGTATAAAACTTCATACCTACCACCGATTTTTAGAAGTGAATCATCCAAAATTATCGATGAGTAACCGTTACATTTACGAAAGATTGTACTGATCATAAACACAGGCTCACAGTTGGTTAAAATATTGCATAATTAGTGACCTTCAACAGCAAGGTTATGTAACCGTCAACAAAAATAAAATTAGGTTATGCCACAGAATATAAAATACGCTACGATGTGGCGTGCTCTATATTCTATGGTTATGCTAAGACATATTGCTAAAGCCGGGTCTAGACTTACAAAGTTATATAACATGTTACAAAAATTTAAGCTAAATGTAGTAAATTTCCTTGCTGTATAACTTGCTAGATGTTAGCAGGATTACATAGCAAAGTTATATAGCAATGTTACTCAGTCTGGACGTTACGAGCGGCTACAGAGGGTAACTCTAATTTTCAATACACCCTTTCCGTTTGATGGATCTAGTTCATGTCACTGTTTACCTTCATTAAGAATTTTGTGTATAAACTACAATGTGCGTTTCAAAAAAGTTAAAAAAAAGTCAAATATACAAATAACATAATAAAAGAGACGCTTGACCAACGTCAACGCAGTTACTTTACTTCTTATCATTAATGTGGCCATGTGGGAATATATATACAATGAATAAATTCTTAATTCATTGTATATATATATATGATGCGCGATTTTTCAATTAAAGAGTATTATGACAAATGGAAACTGTAAACTACACCATTGAATAAAAAATTCAATTTATTCAATGACTACACATGAAACAGAACCTTAGTGTATGATGTGTTGCCTACAATTTGAACGTAATTTTGTTATTCAATGATTTAATATGTATAAAACGCTCGTTTCCAAAAAACCTTACACTATTCAAGATCTCAGAGGACGTATTTTCCAGCATTTGGCAATAATCGCTTGTGTCAGTGTAACCTAACATAATTTTTTATTAATTAAACACATATGTTGCCGTATCGTAACTTCTTGTGGACCAGGATATGCTTTGTAACCCGTTTTCACTCAATTTCCTGTTCCACTTTCTCTTTAATAATAATAAAAATAATATCATTTATTGATATGTAAAATAATGCAATTGTAATACATATATATCTCAAAAGGGGACATGTCAGCATGCTGGTTTTCACCGCCCCCATAGTTACACGTTCTGTAACTCCATTAGTTTGTCATATAGCTATAGTTTAAATGTGTAAGGAGACTTACATTTCACCAATCACTACATTTAGTTTAGTGTACTGAAGCATTATATTCAAAGTTGCCCTTAAACTAGGGGTAGGATAACAAATTATCTCTTGACGTTATAAAAGTTAATAAATTGAAAAGGTACAATGGTTGTTTATCTTTATAGAATAATAACTTATAGACAAACTTTAATAGACGATGAACAAATGTCCCGACGTACTTAAGAATCCTATACTTATTATAAGTAATACGGAGTAATGTGATGTCTCCATGGTATACACAGAATGAAAATCTGAAACTACGCAATTTATCTCATCTGTCGTTGTTTATATACATACGTATTTGAACATTTTAGTTTGGTCTTGTTTGGAATTGGATACAATTTGATTAATAAATTGATTTTTTACGTACTTCCACTACAAATATGGCACAACGGAATGTTTTGGACCTTAGACCCAAAAGCTTTCGTAGTCACAATTTATTTAAACGCGAATACCTCAATTCAAATATGCACCTAAACGCGAAATGGTTCGCTTCCTTATTAATGCGGCAACGCTTTGCTATATTCACGTTTGAAAATTATTGATCGTCTCTTTCATGCAATGAAGTTCTCATTCTGAATAAACCAGCCACGTATTATTAATTTACTTCTACTGGCAGCTCGTAGCAAATTTTGGCACTGTCTCCGATTGTGAGGACAACTCTTTTGTGTTCACAATATGTAGAGAATTCGGCTAAAAATCAATATCGCGATCAAAATAGCCCTCGACCGGCATAGATTCTCTTCGAAAATTTTAGTAAGAATACCGCTCCCCCACCATATTTTTACTTAAATAACCAAATTTTTGTCACGCGCTTGGCTTTTCGCAAAATGGATTGAAACTTTTGAGGTCTGTGAATTGATTTGTTTTAGTCTCAGATGGGGTACATGTGTGATGTATTCTAAAAATCCATTATATAGAATCATATATTCCTTATTTTGATATTTCAAAGTTACCTATCGACCTTATCCAAACATTTTAAATGTTTAATGTTGTTTCTGCATAACCCATTCAGACGGTCATATACCACGATCTACAAATGAAAAATACGTTGTGCTTGTGCAAATAAAACTACAAGTGCAACACGTAATTAACAGCCGATCAATAACATAACAATCATCCAGGGAAGTTTAATTCTTATTTAGTCTCAGCTGCATTTGAGGGTATTTGTATTGGGCGCGGTGTATGAGATGAGAAGGGCAGTGTTTAAGCAATTTAATTTAATGGCGGCAAAATTTTCGCCAAGAAACCCATCCACTCATAACTGTTTTAGTTTTTTATTTCGCATAGGGCAATATTTTTCGCTATTCCCTGTTAACGAAATTTGCAGAACAACCGTCGAAAATGTCCAGTTCAAGTGGATCTCGATGAAATTTTTGTACAATTTGTCATTTATCATAGGCAACTTCTTTATTATTTGCTTCCATATTTATCAAATGGCAATTCAAAAGGGAAATCAAACATTTTCACGCATAGGACCGCTACTATTTTTTTCAGTGTCATGTTGTACCTCACTATTACTCCTATGGTTATCCAGAAGCTGGCCTATTTTAATACAGCAATGGAATAATTTGGACAAGAAGTTCAGCAACTACGAACCTTTGAATAAGTTATACATTCGAGTGAGGGTACTGTCGATGATTGTATTATCGGCCGCGCTTGGTGAGTATAAAAGGTACTTTCTTTAATTTTGCCGATGTTTTTTTTAGTGGAGTATATATTTTATGTTAGCGTAAGAGTTATCCCGTTTCTGCCCAAGAATTGGAGTACATCAGAATTTTTGATATTTATGTTTGGTGATATCTTCACTCACGTGCCTTATGCTCTGTGGAAGGGTATTATATTGTGGGTAAGCTATTGTTTCCGAATTTTATAGTAGTAAGTGAGTGCGTATTATAAAGCGTTTGAGTTGTACCAAAAAACCGAGCGAAAGAGGAGACTAAAACCACAATATTTTAGTTAGTTTGGAAGCTACCCTCAAAAAAGTCCTCAAAATTACATTCCCTTTTCATTTTTTTATTGAGAAGCACAAGACCCATCAAGAACCTTTGGATGTTTGGATGGAATATTTCTATTGTTGACGAATCATCCTACTATCAGTAAAAAAAATTGAGGAAATTTACCCACTAACCAAAATTCCCAACACAAGTGATTAATCTACAAGATCGACATTCATTGCCATGAAATGTGGCGTCATTCGTGAATAAAATATTTTAATTTGTTTGGGTTTCCACGATGACAGCTTCGAATGAATTCACAAAACCGGAGGTAAGAGCCAAGCTCTACTCCTGTCAATTGCCGCACATCTTGGGGACGAAATTTTGGTAATTTTTTTGCAAAATTGGAAAGTGCTGTGGCGATCCATGAGTGGATCTAAAACAGTTGAGTTAGTTTACATGGTGATAATTTGAATATGTCATTTAATAAAATATAAAAAATGTTATTAGTGTTATTTAATTCTATTCTAAACGCTGAATAGTGACCACACTACAGTGCGTATCTAATATCCCATCCAAAGACGTGCCATCTTTCTTTGGCGTCTTTGGTTCTCCAGAAAAAAATCAAAAAGCTGTGTAATTCTTGAGGCCCTTATGGTCTATTTGAAAATGTTTTGGTATTATCTAATTTTTTAAATTTGAATACCCTAGTATGCTTTGTTTTTCCCATTCTGCCTTGGTTACATTATGCTGAAGTGTTTACATAAAAGAACACTTACATGATTCACAATTTACTAAACATACAATAAACGACTATGCTTTTTGTTGGTTTGTTTGATGGCGAAAGTTAGTATTACGTCATCCAACCGGAAGGCGCAAAATGGATCACCAAAAAAAAACAAAAATGAGGTAACGCGGGTCGTTTTCTCCAAATACCTAGACTATTTTTATTTCAAAATGACCTTTTCACGAGCCTTTTCATCAAAAAGCAAATCGTACTCAAACGCCTTTCCATTAATTACTTACTATAACTGGACATAACAAAAATCGGTTGTCAACACCGATATGCTAGTAAAAAATTATCGAAAGCTTTCACGTTAATGAAAATTGGAACTTTCCAAATAATCGAAAACGTATAACAAATCATAGTATGATGACGATGAGGGTAAACATAATGAAAACCTTCCGAGGATATTTCAAACAATTCGAAAAAATGAAAACGACCCACGAATGTTTCATCTTCAGTTTATTTATCGGCCAGTGCTTTTCCTTATTTCCAGTTTATGGCATTACGCAATCGGATGTGGGGCGGCTCCGGTTTAAGTGGATTTCTCTCAAAGTCATTCACAACTGTGCCTTTCTGATGGGGATATTCTTCTTAATCGCCCTTTATGTTTACTACGTGTGGTTTTTTGTCCCCAAGTTCATCTTTAGATACTTTGGTATTACTGTAGCTATACAAATCTTGTTAATTTCCGATTTAAATTTGCAGTTACGCTACTTTTTTTCCTTCATTGTTTTGTTTCTTGTGCCATTTTACTAGTGATGTCCTCGTCGTGGCCTAAGCTGATGCGAAATTGGTGCGATACGGATGCAGTGACTGGCAAACATGCTACTTTGTGTTCCTTACGACATCGATTAATGCTTATAACTGTAGTGGTACTTTCTGCAGCTTTTGGTAAGATGAAGGTGTGGGAACATGCATAATTGTTGTTTGTAGTCGAACACTTTATGTTTAATTATTATATTGTTTCCGTTTTACCAGAGGAATGGTCGGTAAATGATCTGCTGAAGCAAAGTTTTGGTTTTATTTTTACTTGTATACCATATTCTATTTGGACAGGCGTAATAGTTTACGTAAGTATAATTCTTAACTGAATATTGGTGCGACCGACGAGGACGTAATGTACTACCTATGTACAAATAATAAATTCTTAGATCACAGAGCTTAACATCTGAATTTGTTGCAGATGATTAATTTCACATGCACTTTCACATGGAACTACAGTGATTTGCTGTTAATGATAATAAGTACATCTTTAGCAGAAAAGTATCGGCAAATCAATAAAGGAATCCAAAATGCGGTAGACACGAAGATAGACAGCAACGTACGTTCTAATACCACTACTTTTTTGTTTCAGTCAAAAGATAAAAAATATCATTTCTTTCTTTTATTGACGATATACAGTGATATTTATTTAGAAGTAGACATAGGGATTTATGTATATTGTTTTTACCTATGTCTACTTTCAAAAGACAAAATCTCTTCTGAAGGGCGCCTAATTTTGATGCAACCAAAGTAACTTTTTAAAATAAACATACATCTGGCTGTTATATTAATTAGTTACTTTGGCTTCACAGAAAATAAATCTCTTACGCTCCTTAAACTTAAACTACACTAACCAATTGACAAAATCAGCTTTTTCTTCAGTTGAACACATCGCACACGAACGAAAATAAAAATACGGAAACCAAAGCAACAATATTTAAATTAATTAATGGGACAGCCAGATCTGTATTTGTTTTAAGAAGTTATTTTGGTTGCATAAAATTACAAATTTTGATATTTAAAGGTAGACATAGGAAAAAATAATAAGTACACATAAATCCCTATGTCTACTTCTTAATAAATAGCACTGTATATCTATATAATTTTGCTTAGGTACGAAACATTGCTATTTGGAAAAAGATACGAGACGATTATGACAGCGTTTGTAGATTATGCAGTCTGGTAGATGGCTATATAAGCAACCTACTTCTACTTTCTTTCAGTAATAATGTATTTGTTATATTAGTACAACTGTACAACAGTATAAAGTTGTTGTGAGTAAAATTTCTCAATATTTAATTAATAATAATTTATATAGGCAGGACGGTGGCGGTTTTGATACAAGTCGTGTGTATTTTATATATTCGTTTCTTTTCCTGATTTTTCGCACAACTGCCGTTTCCTTGTATGCAGCAAGCGTTAACGAAGAAGGTCGAGCTGCAATGAAGATATTGTTTTGTGTTTCAAGTGAAGCATACAATGTGGAGGTTACTGATTCATGTTTTTTTGATCCGTTTCAAACGAATGCTTTCAGGTTGAAAGGCTCCTATACAAAATTCATATAGATCCACCTATCTTTACGGGGAAACGATTATTTTATCTAAAGAAACCATTGATTCTAAATGTAAGTATAGTCATTGATTCCAAAACGACATCAAAAAATCTTTTTAGATTGCTGTGGCCATTGTAGCTTATGAGTTGGTTTTAATTCAATTTAAATTACTTACTTAAGTGGTTAATTAAGGTTAGCAGACATTGTAACAATCAATAAATAAAGTGTCCAGAGTTTGTTGAACAAAACCTCTTCCACATACCTAATATTAATTAGTCTATAATTACGATGTACGTACCCAACTAAGGGTGACGCAAATGGTCGAGCGGATAACTTACTGAATCTCAAAATAATGGTTACTATGCTTCACCCTACGCCCTTCAAATGCCTTGATGATAAAATTTTCCTTACCCAAAAAATGAAACAAATAGCCAAAAATTAAAATCAATATATTTTATAAATCAACTGTTTCTTAATTGTGGTAGGATCCTGGTACCCTTCATTGAGGTTGCACTGGATCTCCATCGATTGCCGGGTATATCAAACGGATATACAGTGTGTAAAGCGATGGGGTATACAAGAGGGAATTTTTTTTAAACATTGATTTATGAAAAAAATTTATTCTTCATGATATTTTTTGCTTGCTTTGAAAGTAGCAATATCGTTTCGATAATCTAAAATTTATTTATAGAAATCTGGAAAAATAATAAAACTAATTTTTTTATTGAAAGTTATCATTCTACATTATAATTAAGATAGAGTATTGCTATCAAACCACAAACAATCGAAACGTTATTGGTACTTTCAAAGCAAGCAAAACATATTATGAAGAATAATTTTTTTTCATAAATCAATATTAAAAAAAAATTCCCTCTTGTATACCCCATCGCTTTACACACTGTATAGGATTCATCGCATATTTATATTTATCAACACTTCAGACGAATACACATAGCAGAAAGTACATGAATGAACAGAGACCAACCACGTGGAAGAGCTTTTATCATATGGAAATATGCCCAGTAACCGAGTTATCTTATGATTTTAGTAAAATATTCGAATATCACCTTGTTTAATATAAACAAGAGAATTGGCAGGACTTAAAAATTTTTCATTTTTAAATATTTGCCGAATTCGTAAAATCCAGTTTCGAAGTAGAATTCTGTAAACTTTCATCTAATCATCCAAACAAGGGTCTTTCAGTACATGCCAGAGGACTCCCACACAATATACCATAGCAGAAAAGTAGTAGAGGATGCAAACAATATTAACAAAAACAGAGAGACGCTGTGTGGAAATTCAAAATAGGTTTAAAAGTCACGTTTGGTGAATAGTGACTGAATTGACTTTGCTCAAACAAGTTTATTATACAAAATCCCCAAAAACGACAGACTCCTGTTTTTACACAATGCAAATAATGCAAATAACTTACATTTATCTATGCGTCGAGGTTTTCTCCTGTTGAAAGTTAGCAGGAACTCAAAAAATAGGATGGTAGAACGTCTTGTGCCATACAATCGCACCATTGGTACTGCTAGCTGAAATTTGGTTACTCGTTGAAAATTAATTTCAAAAGATGGTCGACGCAATTTGATTTAGGACAAACTTGCTTCAGGTTACTCGCTGTTCATTAGTTGATATTTGATTTATTCACGGTAATAAATTGCCAATGTTCCTCAGTACCTTTATAACTTAGCAGCAAACAAAAGCACGAATTAATTGTCTTTAACCTTTTTACCGGTTACGGTCTTATTTATAATTTTGTCCGCTCCTCGTATAAACAAATATCTTTGATAATAAACTTGTTTTTTAAGATAACTAATCACTCAAAATATAGCGCAATGAAACGTTCTGTCATTTAACCCCAGCGCCTTTTGTAGTTATAATTTATTGTTACTCAAAAAGGTAACTCCGACAATGCAACGAAACAGATAAATTTGCGTACGTCTTCAAACGTATCACTCAGCGGATTGCCTCCGCGACGCAATGAAGTTCCCTTTCGGCATAAACCAGTCACATAATATTAGTTTACTTATATTAGTAACAAATTTAGAAGGCACCAACCTCAATAAATTCGTTTGGTATAAATTGGTAAATAATGCCATACTCTCCCACAAATTTGTCATAGTTTATTCATCGATTTGGGCACCCCCCGCCCAAGTTTTTCTATATGGGTAGATATAGAGAAAAATGCCCTATGCATGCTCCGTGGCAACGAGTTTTAGAACCGCCAACACTGTATAACGTTTCGACATTTATTTGCTTGAACATTCGTCATTATCTTAACGCGCTCCATTTTCTCGCATAATAGTTCTGTTCTCTTTCATCATTAAATGGTATACATACATAATTTCCCATATAGGCAAACTTGTAGAAAAATTCTTTAAAACCTCAAGCGACCTGTTACAAGAGTCAAGTCTAATGGATCGAAGAGACCTTGAAAGAGACACACAGAAGAAAGAGCTACAAACAATGGAAGGCTAAAGTTACAGATATAGGCAACGCAAAAAAATGTACAGGGTGACAATTTGAAAATTTACCACCCCCAATATCTTAGTAAATAAACGAGATATTTAAAAAAATCAAAACCCGTTTCGGTAATTCGGAGGGGGAATCACAATGACATAGTTGGCGACGCACTCCCTCACACCCCCTGCGCCCTAGCCACCCCAACTTTTAAATCTTAAATAGTGACCCCCCATGAGTGATACGTCGTTGGAAAGCTCTGAAAAAATGCTTTCCAACCATACCAAATAGCATTACATTTAGGTCAGTAATTATCGTGCAAATCAAAAAATAAACATGGAAAATCGTATTTAACTTGAACTTCCAAAGCCGACTCGACAGCAACTGATTTTTGATCGCCAGTTATAATCTATTCTCAAACTCTTGTCGAACCTTTCCAATGTTGGTTTTGCAATATTTCGACATTCTTGAATTATTCTCTGTCTTAGTTCGTCTATGTTCGCCGGTTGCGTTTTAAATACGACAGATTTCAAATGTATCATATTAGTGTATTTTTTGATTTGCACGATAATTACTAACCTAAATGTAATGCTATTTGGTATGGTTGGAAAGCATTTTTTCAGAGCTTTCCAACGACGTATCACACATGGGGGTCACTATTTAAGATTTAAAAGTTGGGGTGGCTGGGGCGCAGGGGGTGTGAGGGGGTGCGTCGCCAACTATGTCATTGTGATTCCCCCTCCGAATTACCGAAACGGATTTTGATTTTTTTAAATATCTCGTTTATTTACTAAGATATGAGGGGTGGTAAGTTTTCAAATTGTCACCCTGTATGTAGAAAGTTACGAGTGTATGAAACAATCATATGACGTGTAGTACCTATTCAATGCCTGTGGGCTGTGACACATGGATAATCACAAAGGAAGAACATTGTAAAGAATATATGGAAGAACCAAGAATACAAATGAAGAATAGAAAAGAAGGAACTAAGGAAGCATACAAGATATTGCCCAGAAACCAAGCCAAAGCATCAGAAAAGACTTAAATCGTAAATGCGATTAAAAAAAAGGGGCCATCCAAGAAGAAATAGCTAGAAGTAAGAAATGATTTTAAATAGAATATTAGTGTATGAATAGAGGACATCATAATGAAACGAATGAAGTGAAAAGGAAATTGTTTTTAATAGTTTTCTTAAATAAAATCCACGAAATTATTAAAAATGAGTTTTCATTTCATTCCTATTTTTACAATAAGTTGGAAAGTACTCGATGCGTCGAGCTACTTTTTGTGCGACGGATCGAGATTTTATTAGCAAACTCATTTTATGCTACATTTTCATTACGAAGGAAACTTTTTGTGCTGAAATATAATCAGCATTTAAAGAATTGTGACGCAAAGCTAATAATACTTCAAATCCGAGCGAGCGACAGAACAGCCAAAGTGAATACTACTTTTTTTTCCATTAAAGAAATCAGTTTTCGCATTTTTAAGACTGTGAATTTTGACATGAATTCTTCAGCATCGAGTATAAATTTTAACTAACGCCATTGATTATAAATAATTTATTAGGCAATGTGTAAATGTGTGAGTAAGTTTAAGATTTCTTATTTTAATTGGCCGATCGCCTGCGTGCGGAGTAATATGTCCAAACAAGCAGTGTAAGCTTTTCTTTGTTTTAGGAATTTTGTTTTATTTCTTTCACGTTTTTCGCAATAAATTTTTGTCATTGTGTGTTTATTCGAGTTCAATGTGCAACCCGGATAGATTTCATGCCAGATTTTTCCTTTGTGTCCAAGAATTATGTCAGATGAAAATTTGTGCGGTTAATTCTTTGGATTTTCGTCTCTCAAGTTATTAATTTAAAGGCAACATTGACATTTTAAATTGTGACAGGATGTCTACGAGGAAAATAATTACAAATTCTAAATTTAAAGGTTGAATTGCTTTGACCTAGCTGGACTCTGTGTGTGTGTGACGTAGTGACCTTGAAAAAAGGAGGCACCAATTTTTTAATAATTTATAGTACCTACTATGTTTTTCCGTTATTAGGACATCATTAATTTGAATCGGGTAGTAAACACATACAAAATCAGGATAAAACACCTCACTGTTATAAAATTGATACATAATGAGACGATGTAATTAAGTGGTATGTAATAATAACTACCCAAAGCTTTCACATTGATGAAAACTGACAACATTATTGAATCAATTCCACCGGGCCGCAATGAAAACAATCCAAAAATACGTTTCAAAATGCAACAAATCGACGACTCACGAATGCATGGCTTTTAGTTTACTCATCGGGCAGTGTTTCTCTTTATTTCCAGTGTACGGAATTGGGCAATCGGACCCACCCTGCCTGCGTTTTAATTGCCTTTCCTGTAAAGTAATGTACCATGTCGCATTCCTAATAGGGGTCTTAGTATTTATCGGTCTTCACGTTTATTACGTAATATTTATGGTACCAAAGTTCACATTTGGGTGTCTAGGTACTAGAATTACAGTGTAACAATTGCATTTATATTATGGGCTTTTTCAGTTATGTTATTCTATTTCCTTGAATGCTTCGTTTCCTGTGTATTTATGTTACTTATGTCTCGTTCTTGGCCTAGATTGATGCTAATTTGGAGTCGAATCGATAATGTGGCAGCCAAATACGGAAATTTGGCTCCATTACATTGTCGACTAAGGGTGTTAACTGTAATATTTCTGTCTGCAGCACTAGGTATGTAAGTGAAAGTGGTTCTTGTACGATTATTTATTTTTAGTCGACTATGTACTGTTTACCTACTTGACTATTTCACATCTTCCAGAAGGATGGTCTATTGACGATATGCTTAAACAAAACTTTAGCCTCATTTTCACATTTATACCGTATTCCAAGTGGAAAGGCTTAATTCTTTCAGTAAGTATTTCATTGTTATTACAGCGAGAATCAATCTGGTGTTCAGGTGATTATCTTCACATGCATATTTACGTGGACCTATGGTGATTTATTGCTGATGATAATATGTACATCATTAGCAGAAAAGTACAGGCAAATAAATAGAGGGATAGCGAAAGCCATTAAAACGAATGTACGTTATTCTCTTTTTACACTGCTTCACTGAGTCCATCTTCAGGTACAAAATATTGCATTTTGGAAGAAGGTACGACAGGATTACGGAAGCGTTTTTAAGTTATGCCAAGCAGTGGATGATCATATAAGCAACTTGCTCATTTTGTCTTTTGCTAATAATATACTAGTTATATTAGTTCAGTTGTATAACAGTATAAAGTTATTGTGAGTAAAACCTGCGCAAGGGTTGGCATAATTAAAATGTTTCCAGAAGAGGTAATAGTAGCGGAATTGATCGTGTGCATTTCATATATGCATTCCTTTACATAATTTGTCGGGCAACTGCAGTTGCACTGTTCGCCGCAAGCGTCAACGAAGAAGGTAGTGCAACATTGAAGCACCTGTTTAATGTTTCTACAGAAGCTTATAATGTTGAGGTAAAAGTTGTACAAACTAGTTGACCAAAGGCGCCTTTGTATCGTCTTTACAGGTAGAGAAGCTGCTCCAACAAATTTATGTAGATCCGCCTCTTATAACAGGGAAGAGGTTCTTTTATTTAAAGAAACCTTTAATTATGCATGTAAGTATTGTACTCGTATTGGGTCAAATCTGATTCTGGACAGGAATACTTTTAGATTGCCGTTGCAATCGTGTCGTATGAGTTAATTCTCATTCAGTTTAAGGTAATTACCTAGCAAATCTTGTGTAATATAGAAAAGTGGTCATTAAATTGTAAGGATGGGCTACGTTTTTTCTACCTACACATGCTCTTCAAGAATACATTAGTATGATTAGCATTAATTCTTAAAAATATGTTTTAGGTCTCAATTTTGTCTGGTCCAGTACTGGAACTTGAAATAAACGAGTATGTAAATGTAAAAGCTTTGTTTTTTTAGTGTTCAGTTCATTTGGCCGGTGGATTCCAAATTGATTAAACAACAAATTCATATAAAAATCAAACGAATAAAGAATCTTGAAACGTATTTAAAGAAATATTGTACAAAGAGTAATAAACGGCAAATGTGGCTACTCTAATCCTCTACAACTTAAATAAAGTTCGCCTTGGCCGTGAAAACAAACTTAGGCAAAAAAACTACTAAGCAACGTTATTAACTACGCGTAGAACTTCTTGCGCTGCAGACTACAACGCAAAAACCTAAGGAAAAATTATTCCGCATCCAGACACTACAAAAAAATGAATAATATTCAAAACGAATTGTCTGTGAATAAAACCGCATGGCATAACCTGCTACCCCCTTTATTTTTTTTAACAAAATGTAGATCTAGCGTAAACTGCGTAACTCAGGCTATGTTACTTCAATATTGGATTAGGAATAAACTTCATAGCTTCATCGAATCATTTTTCTCCTTAAGTCTATATTTCTTCAAGGATGACTGAAATGGTTCTTTAAAATTGTTTCATCTTCCTCTTCTTCTTGGGAGTGCTTCTTAAGTGTCAATTAGTTAATTTGAGCCTCTCGTTGTTCTTGAATTAGTAAAGCACCTCCTCTGCTCTTGTTTGTTACCTTGTTTGCGTCTTCAGAATCTCTACCCTCTCTGGCCATGACTTCTCTCATAATTTCTCCGTTCGGAACTAAAAACAACAAATGATTTATTTTTCACCGATGCAACATAACTAATCGGGGTTGCGGGGTCGCATTTTATTCCGTGTTGGTCCTTTCATTTAGGTCAGAGTAGTCTCCCTAGTGGGTGTTGATAGTTGGAATGCTGGGGTTAGAGTGAGAGTTCCCCTATCTACGCTTAGCCTTCTGCCGGAATTTGAGATCGTGAAGTTAATTAATTGTGTTGCAGCAAACTTCGTCAGATTAGATTGTGTCTAGTCTCAAAAGAAGCGCGCTTAATTAACTTGAATTTGAAGATTAGTGTCAGACTTTTAAGACGTCAGGGAATCTTGTCCGTGACTTCCGAAAGTGGTCTGAAACCGACCGCCCTTGACAAGAAGCAAGATCGAAAAACTTCTAAAAGCCCTCGCTGTACCGTTCAGCTACGGCGACTACTGCAGTTAAGTTGTAAAATAAAACCTAATCAGATTGTGAACAATTTATGTTTTATGCAATTTTTATAACGGTTGGGTTTGAGAAGAATCATGTAGAATAGGTTGCATATACACTTAGGAGTTTAGAAATCAAAATGTTGGAGAAAATTGATAACATAAAATTTCGTATTTGGCGTAAACTGATATCTCGTTCATTTTACACCTGTACTTTCCGAGAGCAACGTGATTTGCGGTACCTGTAATTAAAAGGCAACTATTAGGCCAGATTTTCCGCATTTCATTAGTACAGCTAATTAATTTAGAAACAATTAGTTAGATAATTAGTACTCATAATTAGCAACCACAGTAGTGGGATTTAAGGCTCAGAGGGAAAAGAGGTCGACTATCAGGGAAAGAACTAATCAGATTTCTTAATTATCGTAATTCTAAAATTTTAGCCTATTTATTTAAAGTCATAATCTTGAAGCAAATTGAAACGTCAAATTAAATACCTAAGGAAGTCACTAATCAAGTTATTGTTCAACTCCTTATCACCTCACTGGATAGCAGCGTCGCGTAAATCAGCCCTTGTGGTTGTTGTTGTTGCTGACCCTGGGCTCATATCTGCATACCAATACCTGTTCTGTTGATATCAAACTACATATAAAATCAGCAAGAAATAATATACATAAATATTGACAACTTACCCTGTTGGCCGGACGATAGCTAGAGTGTGGTGAATGAAATATTAGGGGTTGTACAACCAAAGCGCTTTGTTTGCTACCGCCGTATGTGTTTATTCGATGAATACAGCAGCCCTCCGTACTGTCAACTGGCAAGTAGCGTTTAGTCTTACCGCCCAAAAATTACGGTAAGTAAAATGGATAAATATGAAGCTACCTAACTGTAGAAACGACCTAATTGCTAAAATTAAGATGGTTATAATGACCGATGGACGAATAATTAACGGATTGGATGGATCACAGGTGAGTATAGATAGTCTCTTGCTTCTTTTGTATGTTGTTTGATATCAACAGGTATTGGTATGCAGATATGAGCCCAGGGTCAGCAACAACAACAACCACAAGGGCTGATTTACGCGACGCTGCTATCCAGTGTGGTGATAAGGAGTTGAACAATAACTTGATTAGTGACTTCCTTAGGTATTTAATTTGACGTTTCAATTTGCTTCAAGATTATGACTTTAAATAAATAGGCTAAAATTTTAGAATTACGATAATTAAGAAATCTGATTAGTTCTTACCCTGATAGTCGACCTCTTTTCCCTCTGAGCCTTAAATCCCACTACTGTGGTTGCTAATTATGAGTACTAATTATCTAACTAATTGTTTCTAAATTAATTAGCTGTACTAATGAAATGCGGAAAATCTGGCCTAATAGTTGCCTTTTAATTACAGGTACCGCAAATCACGTTGCTCTCGGAAAGTACAGGTGTAAAATGAACGAGATATCAGTTTACGCCAAATACGAAATTTTATGTTATCAATTTTCTCCAACATTTTGATTTCTAAACTCCTAAGTGTATATGCAACCTATTCTACATGATTCTTCTCAAACCCAACCGTTATATTTTTCCGATTAAAATTTATTTTTTTCTATTCAACGAGTTGCATTGTTTATTTACAGAAAGTCGATTGTGCGCGGGTTTCCCGGCTACCGATGTTCGTCGCAGTTATTTATTTTGCCTCCGCCGTAGCAAAGAGTACTCTTTGGCCGTAGTAGTGAAATAATTTATGTTTCAGTTATTAACAATTTATCAGCGCACATTTTAACCACGATTAAAGACGATGTACTAAGAAATGAAGAAGTTACTCCAGAAATAAAGAGAAACTACCTCTTGGAGACATATAAAAATAACTAAACAAATCAAAAGGTGTTCGCCCTAAGAAGAGTAGCTTCAGAGCACATTTTCCATGCATTGATCATATAAATTCTTCCCAAAAGATCATTAGCTATGTGCGCTATGCTGTTCTTTACTAGAGGGATCTATGGTTAAAGTTTCAAAGAAATATCTCCATAAATATGATTTCGCGCATGCGGGAATTTTAATATTTCTACGTGCAATGTGTTTGTCTTTGCTAATGACATTTGTAGTTTTCAATTTTTACTACATGTGATACGTTTTTCTTTACTAAGCAACTATGGTTAAAATTTGAAAGAAATATCTTCATAAATAAGGAGCAGAGTGCGTATAGACTGCGCATGCGCACATGTAATGTTTACAATATGAGATATGTATGCCTTTAACAGAAGCCTCTGTGATTAAAACTTAAAAAAAGATATCGCAATAAATAAGGAAATGGATATTGCGCAGCCTGCGCATGCGCACATTAATCGTCAAGATTTTTCTTGACCCAGGTGCCAGAGCTATAAGCTACCGAATTCAAAAAGAACGAACTAAATATATTGAAAACTGTAGAAGTAGTTAAGGCTTCGGATGAACGGACAAATGGACTGAAAGACGGGCGGACGGACAAACGGACGGATAAAAAAGTGGCTGCAATAGCGCACCCAATTTCGTTGGAAAATGCGCTAAAAGTCATATCACTAGTAGGGGTTTGGGACCGGTCCCTCAAAGAAGCGGTACCTGAATTGGAACCGATTGCATAATTATAGGTCTCTCACTTGGAATCGGAACTGTTATTCAAGAAGTTATGGTAACCGGAACCGATACCGGTGACGTTGTTATTAGTACGAAAGAACAGGTATTTTTCCGTTCCCTCTTTTTGTAGGTACCTGCGCTTTGTAAGATGGAAATCCGTTTTACATTGTTAGTAAAGGTAATCGAATCAAAAACAGTAATAGGATGAAAGAAGGTGTGAGAAAAGCATAATAATTGAAACTATTAATGAAGAAGAAAGTAGAAAAAGACAGATGTGTAATTAAAAGGTTATTACTCGAGTCATTATCATGTTTTAAACAAAACCAGAAAATTCCCATTACTTTCAAAGATATGCCCGATCAACCGAATTTTGTTTATATTTTTGTCTGATTTTATTTGAACAGATCGCCCGTAAAAATACTGTATCGAGTACACTTTTTCATTACGAATACAACGGTGCCCATAAAAAAACAAAAGCTGGAAACTGTTGGTTTCAACAGGATGGAGCACCCCATCACAAGGCTCTAATCGTGGGAGAATACCTATAATAGAAATTATCCATTTAAAGGAAATTTGTTCGATGGGTATTCTCGCTTTTCCCTAATTTGACCAACGTCATGTCTACTACGGTTTCCGAGAACCCTATGATAGACATCTTGAACACAGTGTACCTACTTAATTGTTATTTATGTCAGAACTTTAAAAACTGAAAAAAAACGGAATCGGCACCGAAAATTATTGACGACACAAAATCGGGACCTTAAAAATACCAAGAATAATGCGGAATGGGAACCTATAATTCATATAGGTTCCAACCACTGGTAACGAGCAACAATGTTACGAGCTTATGAAACAATCATATCACGTGTAGTACCGTCGATTGTCTTCACCTGTGAAGAAACCTGGACAAAAGATCAAGAGAAATATTGAGGATATATGGAAGAACAGAGAATACAAATGGGGAATGGAATAGAAGAATTAATCGAGAAGTACAATAGAAGAAGGAAGAAAGAATTTTAAATTGAATAGTAGTGCACAAATGAAGGGGATTAGAATGGCAAATAGCAATTGTTTAGTTTTTTAAATAAAATCCAAGAAATAATTAAACATGTTATAATGGCAGCACAATTTTCAATTTGTTGATATTTCTACAAAAGCTATATTCATTTTAGATATGTATATGTAGGAATGAACATTGATATGAATTCTGCAGTATCGTGTATAAATTTTTAGTAAGGCCATTAATTAAAAATAATTTCTAATTCCCCAGCCTTTATTTAAGCGAATTCCGAAAATAAGGGTTAGGCGAGCCTGGTAATTCCCCTGTAATAATTACAAAAAAGCATTAATAGTCTGAATCCTTAAGCTAAAAATTAATATGAATTCAAAGTATATGCTCAATATACACATTTTTTAATAATGTTTTATAGTTTTTTGTGGACTAGGAAATGATTAATTTCAGCCTTCTTTGTGGGTAGTAAGCACCTCACTGTTATGAAATTGATACATAACGACACGATGTAATTGAGTGCAATAATAATTAGCCAAAGCTTTTACACTAATGAAAACTGACAAAATTATTGAGTCACTTCTACCGAACCACAATGAAAACGAAAATTATTAAAAATATCCAAAAATACGTTTTAAAATGCAACAAATCGACGACTCACGAATGCATGGCTTTTAGTTTACTCATCGGGCAGTTCTTTTCTTTATTTCCAGTGTACGGAATTGGACAACCAGACCCACACTGCCTGCGTTTTAATTACCTTTCCTGTAAAGTAATGTACCATGTCGCTTTCCTAATAGCGTTCTTAGTGTTCAATGGTCTTCACGTTTATTACGTAATATTTCTGATACCAAAGCTTACATTTGGATTTGTTCGTAAGGGATTCAAGTGTAATAACAGCATTTATTATTATAGCAATCTTTAGTTACGGTAATCTATTACATTGAATGCTTCGTTTCCTGCGTATTCATCTTACTTATGTCTCGTTCCTGGCCTAGATTGATGCTACTTTGGAATGGAAACGATAAGTCGACGCACATATATGGAAATTTGACTCCTTTATATTGTCGACTAAGGGTGCTAACTGTAATGTTTCTGTCTGCAGCATTAGGTATGTAAGTGAAGTGGTTCTTGAATGATTATTTGTTTTTAGTTGACAATATTCTGTATAACTATTTGACCATTTCACATCTTCCAGAAGGATGGTCGATTGACGACATTCTTAAACAAGATTTTAGCCTCATTTTCACCTTTATACCGTATTCTACGTGGACAGGCTTAGTATTTTCAGTAAGTATTTCGTTGTTATGTAATTTACTACCGTAGAAATCAATCTTGTGTGTTCAGATGATCACATTCACATGCAGATTTACGTGGACCTATGGCGATTTGTTGTTGATGATAATATGTACATCATTAGCAGAAAAGTACAGGCAAATAAATAAAGGGATAGCGAAAGCGGTTAACACGAATGTACGTTATTCTCTTTTTTACACTGTTTCACTCTTCTTCAGGTACAAAATATTGCATTTTGGAAGAAAGTACGACAGGATTACGGAAGAGTTTTTAGATTATGCCAAGCAGTGGATGATCATATAAGCAACTTGCTCATTTTGTCATTTGCTAATAATATACTCGTTATATCAATGCAATTGTATATCAGTATAAAGTTATTGTGAGTAAAATCTGTGCAAGAGTTTGCATAATTACCATGTTTCCAGAAGAGGTAATAGTGCCAGTATTCATCGTGCGCATTTCATATATGCATTCCTTTACACAATTTGTCGGGCAAGTGCAGTTTCACTGTTCGCCGCAAGCGTCAACGAAGAAGGTAGTGCTACATTGAAGCACCTGTTTAATGTTTCCACGGAAGCCTATAATGTTGAGGTAAAAGTTGTATAAACCAGTTGACCAAAGGCGTCTTTCTATTGTCTCTACAGGTAGAGAAACTAATTCAAAAAATTTCTGTGGATCCGCCTATTATAACAGGAAAAAGGTTATTTTATTTAGAAAAGCCTTTAATTCTGTATGTAAGTGTTGTACTCGGTATTGGTTAAAACCTTATTCTGGACAGGAATGTTTTCAGATTGCCGTTGCAATTGTCTCCTATGAATTAATTTTGATTCAATTAAAGGTAATTATCTAGCAATTGTGCGTAATAGAATAAATAATGATCATGATATTGTAAGCTTATCTAAGTATGCTCTTCAAGAATATGACATTAGGTAGTATGCCATAATTAATTCTTAAAAATTAGTTCTGGGCTTTAATTTTAAAGTTTCTGTGCTAGTAGGTATTGGAACTTGGAATAAACGAAAATGTAAATGCAAAACTTTGTTTTTTCGAATGAACAGGTCATTTGACCGAACAACCGAACGAATAAATAGGTTAGGATCTTTTTTCTTCTCTCCGAATCAATTTTTCTCTTTTTTGCTAAGCCTATATTTCTTTATGGTTGGCTAAAACTATTCTTTAAAATTGTTTCTTATTTCTCTTCTTCTTGGTTGATGGAGGGGTTTTCCAACCACCACTCAAATTAGTTATTGGCCTCTTATTCTCTTGACTGATTGTACATCATCATCAATTGTCATCTATTAACCCTTCCTGAAGAATGACACTGGGCGAATCGATATCCTCCGCAATTTTTTTCGGCGTGTATGAATCTGATTTAATGGGGATGCAAAAAGGGGAGGAAAAGATTCATGAAGCAAAACATGCCGCCCGTGTTCATCCCTCTCCAACTGCGATAGATTTTGCGTTTACAAGCAAACCCTAAAACCCTAAAGGTGGATTCATAGCTCTCCGTTCATCCGTTGCGTTGGTCCGTCAAACGGATAATACATTTTGTTAAGGTTCATAGCAATCCGTCCACATTGTACATTTGCAACGTATAACCATAACCTACATTTTATTTTGTACTGTACCCTCCGTGATTTTCAGTATTGAAAAATGGTACAAAAGTAAGAACACGTTGCTATCTGATTATTACCCTGAAGAACGAATAGGTGAACACTGTTAACGTACCAAACATAACCTGACTCTTGTTAAAAACGGACCAACGGAAACGTAAATATTCAACTTCAACCAACTTTTCCGTCGTAAACGGACGACGTACGATTTAAAAATTTGCTGTCTTCTGATTGGCTAACGGACAAACGGAAACGTATGAACGGAGAGCTATGAACTTACCTTAAGACCGTTTTTACACAGGGACACTGTATGCGAGATAGTGTATCCGAGATACAGTGCATCGTCAGAATTCATGTCCAATACATATCGCAGACTTTGGGCCTTCTAAATTGCTTTTGCGCAGGGAGTTAAGTACTATGTACTATGGCCCAATAGCCCATCAGTCCTCCAAAGTCGTCAAATCGCTTGGCGACTGGGACTAAGGAGAGATCGAAATTTAATCGCCAATCGTAGGAAATATGCGTGTGGACGGTTCCATAAGACGCAATGTTATACATGTATCCGAGATGCCGGTCTGCTGGCGACTGTATTTCGGTGTAAAAGTGGACTAACTAATTACCTGATCCCCCCAAGATATGAAATCGATTGCACAGTTAGCATCAGATCAACGACTAAGACGTCGACAACAAACTGGATTTTGTGCTTGTATCCGTGGTGGGAGTGGCATCTAGGGTTACTAACACCCTGGGTTGATCATCTCCCTCTATTTTATCCATAATTAGCAGTTAACCATAATTTGGGGCTAGATAATCCAGTCATATAAACCGTAAATGACGTAGCTGCTTAGCAGGAGTAGGTAACCGGCACTGAAAGGGCTCAGACTATATCCCTGAGTGCCATGAAAACTTTATGATTTAATTACTTACCTTTGTGGCTAATTATGCGAATTTGGAACTAAAGCACTTAACAAAATCAAACAAATATAGACATCGACCAGTTAGCGCCTGAATGGGAAAGGCAACCCCTACTCATATGGATTTACCGGTGCCCCAGTTAGTAGTGACGGTGTGCACCTCCGCGTTTTCTGTGAATTTTGCATTTGATATCCCTCCTGAGGGGAGACGTGTGAAGTTCAAGTTCTTAATGTCCAAATCTTTGTTCTCCGTTGCTACACCCTTCGAAGGTCGGGATCTTTTACTACACTCCAATCGATAATTAAGCTAGTATGCTGGTTACGCGTTTTAAAGTTTGACACCTTCTCTGTAGGTCGTTCTAGTGTTAGCATCCCTTGACTTAGTCCACTTCCTTTCCCCAAAGAACTTCTACAACAAAATATTGTATTTATACAGAAAATTATTGGTGCATGTGTCGCGTGTGAAAGGTTCAGTTAACATCATATCAAGTACATACTCATTGCCATAACAATTTTTCCGACACGCTAACCTTTACGGTAGATTTGTACTTATATTAAACGTGTTTTCCATTTACGATTATAAATATGTAGCATGCATTTTCCACTATGATAACGCACCATTGGCGAACTTTGATGGACAACCGAAAAAAAGAAATGTGTTTATATCTAAGTAATCGATAAACTTCCTTGATGTTATTCCTTTAGGTTACCAATACAAAGGGCAATAATGCACGTAGTTAAAAACATGAAATTACTTTATGCCAAGCATTCCGGGTGTTTATCAACTTATGAAAGTTTGAAGTTTACTTTTATACTGGGAAAATGTTTTGGTATGTTTCCAATGGAAGGATTGGCGAGCAGAAATCTGCGGATGCTAAAATTTCGGTTGATTTCGATCCCGACTGTTTACACCGCGGTGTATATGGTAGCCATGCTGGTAGTTATATTTTTTCATGTATACCACAGCATTTCAATTTCAAAATGCACTTTTGGCCATTTTGGTAAGTTTAGACCTAGTACCGTGTGTGATCCTAATCATTTTTCGTAGTTTCTTTATTTTTTAATGTATGTGCATTTCTGTCCACTGCACTTTTCTTACGTTTGTCCACAAAATTGCCAAAGTTGATGCGCATATGGACTAAAATTGATAATCAATTACGAGGAGTAGATTTTTCAAAAAACCAGGCCTTCAAATTTAGAGTGATAACTGCAGTGGTTCTACTTGGTGCACTGCGTAAGTACCAGAGTGATTTACTTGACTCATGAGAGTAATTATGTTGTAGTTGAACACATCTTGTTCTTGAGTTTTAGAATTTCAAATATTGAGCAGGAAGGGTGGACAAAATTCCGAATTTTTTTAAAAACTAATTTCCATTACGTGTTTGATCACACACATTTTGCAGTTTGGAAAGGGTTGGTATTCATGGTAAGTTACACGTTGATATACGCTTAAACATTGTATTTGTAATGTCATTCAACATACAAGAATCTGTAAAAATATCTCCCCCAATAGTCGCTACCTTGTGTAACTTGTAGGTATGGAAGGTGGAAGGAAATTTAAACCCTCCTTCCTTAAATTAGCAAAATCACAACCAAAAGGCATAACAGGCCTAGGTCCAGCTCAAGAGTAGATTCTAAAATTATATTACCGAATCACTAACACTCACTTACATTGTTCGGGCAGTAATATTAAGAAATTTGTAACATGTTTGTTGAAAATACAATGAGTTGAACTCACTTGGCCAATTTGAATTTATTCGATTATTGAACAAGTCAGAAAGGTTTCATTAAGACAAAGTACAGTCTGATTTTGTTGCTGTTTAATCGCCGAAATCAGCCACTCCATTCTTTTTCAAAACTGTGGGTGCATTTTTTTAGAGTAAACTGGTGGTTGATAAACGCATTGTAAATATTTGTGAACAAACCCGTGGAATTGTGGCCCTGGCCCCTACAACTTATTACCAAGGGCAGGGAATCACCGACCAAACAATTCTGTTCAAACTGATCGAGAATTTGGGGCGTTGGGATCATTTTAAATATTTATATAGGAACGAGAGGGTAATCTTAGCAGGAGAATTCCATCGGAACTTGAGAGGAATAGAACATGAGGGAGGTTAAGGCAGTACTTCAGTAGCGAAGCGAGATATAAAAGCTTAAGAGCTACTAGAGGACAAATTAGCATACGAATTTAAGAATAACTGGGAAAATAATGGGAGGGATTTAAGAGAGAAATTCAGGGAAGCCTTTGGGGAACGCCAAAATGATTTGAGAAAATTTTATAAGCACTTGAGGGAATGAAATAAACTTCTATAAGGAGAAATTGAAGAAGAAATTGTTAATGAGAAAGTAATATGCGGATATGCTTCACAAGGGCTGGTGAATGTAACATCACGATAGGGTGTGAATTTTCGGCATAATTCAGTGGTTTGGGTCTTTGTAAATATCCATCTCCGTATAGGGGTGAGAAGCGCAGAGTAACCCTATCGCACAAAACACTGCCTGTCGTAAGAGGCGACTAATCTAAGGCCCATTCTATCACTGTTTCTCCCTTAGCAGCTCCATTCCGCCGTGCTTCATATATTGGCTATGTCACTTTGTGGTACGTTTTTTAAATAATATTTCCATACATTTGCATCGCTATTTTCTGTATTATCCCTCCCACTTAGGGCGTACGACCAAAGTTCCCTTGAAAAATCCCACGAGATTTCTCTTTTGCCGCCTTGGGTAGGGTTCGTCGTATGAGGATTGGGCCCCTCGTCGTTGTCTGTGTACATGGGGGTATCAAACAGTGGGGCGTATAAGGATTGGACCCCTAGTCTTACTTTCACTAGAACGCTCTCTGCTGCTCGAGCGAATGTTTTGTTCTGGTTTTCACCAGGTCATTTCCCTTTTTTATTTATTGAATGTACATATTTTCATTACATATGGTGTTTTGTTTTTAATTTTTTATTAATAAAAAGGTTACAGACGTTTTCTTTGCTGTTTAATATGTCTTCAGATTAAGAAGGATTGGTTCTCAGAGCGTTTATATTTTCATTTAGTGGAATTTTTCGTTGCAGTGTAGAAATTGAAGGTGTTTGAAGCGGAGCGAGATTTCTACAGATGTGACAGTTTTTAGATGAGTTTGATGCACCACGGTACTACCATGGGCGAACCTGGGAGCTACTATCTAGCTTTGGAACCGCGTATCGTAGTCTTGCTCTTGGTTTTCTAAATATTTAAGTTTTTTTGTTCTTAGAAGAGTAGGGTACCACGAATGATGAAGATCCTTCACCGTAGCGAGGTAGGAGTAGTGATTAAATATTGGGGTAGTGCAGATAGACAAAATCGTTCTCAAAGAACCCATCAGCTAATCTTGTTAGGATTTTGTCCAAACAATTAAAATAAAAATTATATTATTAATAGTACTTATTATTAAATTTAAAGAGGCAATTTTCGATATCTGAACTGCGTTTTTCCTTTTTATTTTTGAGTGGCTGTTGAATTCTAGCTTGAACTTAATTTCCTACCCCATCGATTTCGACACAATGAGGGTGATTACAACTTCTTTTTTACAAACTCATTTGACCCTTAGAAACAGGACAAAACTCGCCCTTTCTCATTGATTTAATAATGTACACTATATTTTCAGCACTTAGCTACCGCATTCTTAAAATGGTTTCATGATTATCTGATTTTAATTTCAAGGCAAATTTATTTCTTTAAACTCATTGAAAGGTCGCCAAGCTATAAAATTTAATTACTCCGAAAACACTCTTAGTAAATTTAGCCGAAAACAACGAACTTAATCCAAATCTGAATTTAGTATCTCTTTGAATCCTCCTATAAATTAACATCCATATAAAATACTTTATATTGTTAATCTTATAACCATGCACACCCCTGGCAAATTTAATTTTCGCCACTATAAGAATTAAAAAAAAATTCAACCTCACTAGTAAGCTATTGTTACAAAATATCCAACGAACCTGAACGTGTCAAAAAAGAAAGAATAAGAAATATAAGAAAATTTAAAGTGAGAATAAGACAAAAACTTTCAACCTCTGAAGGGGATCCCGTTAAGACAAATAAATATATTAAATAAATAAATAAATAAATAAATAAATAAATAAATAAATAAATAAATAAATAAATAAATAAATAAATAAATAAATAAATAAATAAATAAATAAATAAATAAATAAATAAATAAATAAATAAATAAATAAATAAATAAATAAATAAATAAATAAATAAATAAATAAATAAATATGCGTTTAGCCCACGATCGATCATTACATCGCATGCGCCATTTGAAGCTTAAAAGTGGTTGATAATTGGGGGATATAAATACCAAAATCAAGATAAATCTAGACTACATCGCCTGAAATCCTCTTTCTCCCGGAATATTTTGTTCACGAAAAATTTGCTCTCTAGCAAATTCAATGTAAGTTAATCCCTCGCCAGATAAGTTCGCTCCTCAATTACCTCACTGTAAAAGAAAATTCGCTTTTTGGAGAGAATGCCAGATTAAATTAATTGTGAGCCTGAAATTTTAGGGTTTGTCACAGAAATAGGCTAAATACGGAGCAGTGACCCCAAGGACTAACCTTCTTTTTCTTAATTTGACCTTGCGAATATTCAGGTGAGCATTGGAGCAAGTTTTCCAGTTCACTACTTTAGAGGGGATGGAGAATGTTTTTTTGGAGCGGATTTGCTAGAGTGGTAGCAAATTTAGTGGACGAAGGGAATTATTCTTTGCTTCTCTGTTAGCAACGAACGTTTGAGTGATTTTCCATCGGAAGAATACGTCGGGGGGTGGATATTCCGACGGTCAATTTTCAGATGTGAAAACAGCAAGGGCAAATTTTTTCGGAATAAATGTTTGGAGTGACTATTTCGGTTTTCCTTGGACCGAATTTTCCGTCATTCGTTTTCAGTCCACCCTCGTTTCCTTTTAGAAACGGAGACTCTACATCCAGCGTTTTAAATAGGCATAGGAACAGACCATTGTTCAAATGGTGTCGCGTGTAGGGAGCACCATTATTACCTGAAGTACAGACTGGTAGTTATCCCTAAAGTTTTTCCGACACGCTAACTTAATGGTAGATTCGTTAAACGTGTATTTCACACACTATAACTCATTATTTTTAAAGTTAGATGGGCAACTGAAAAAATTATGTTGGTGTCTGCATTCCAACATCAGTCGGTATCGATTTTGCTTCTTTAGGTTCAAGAGCAAGAAGTAAGAAAAAATGGCATTAATTTATGCGAAACGCTCGGCTTCAACGTATGACGCTTTGAAGTTTAGTTTCCGTCTAGGAAGGTATTTTGGTATGTGTCCAATAGAGGGTTTGACTAGCTCAAATATGAAGACGCTAAAATTTCGGCTGATTTCGATTTCTACAATCTACTCTGTGGGGTATATGGTTGGCATATTAACGGTCATATATTTTCATTTTTACCACTGCATTTCCACTTTAACATTCAGGTTTGGCCATTTCGGTAAGTTGTAGCGCTGTTAACGCACGTCATACTTTTCGTAGTATCCATAGTCTTTTTTACATGTGCATTTGTATCTACTGGACTCTTTTTACGATTGGGCACAAAACTACCGAACTTAATGCATACATGGATGAAAGTTGATAATCAATTACGGGGAGCCGATTTTTCAAAAAATCTTACCTTCAAACTAAGAGTGATAACAGTCGTGGTTCTAGTTGGAGCACTGCGTAAGTATAATCAATACTCAAATTGATCCGGAGCTATCATTTTGTAGTTGAGCATATCTTGTTTTTGAGTTCTGCGATTTCAAATATTCCGCATGAAGGATGGACAAGATTTCAGATTTTTTTAAAGACCAATTTCAGTTATGCATTTGATCATGTCAGTTTTGCAGTTTGGAAAGGAGTGTTATTAATGGCAAGTGTTTCAACTCATCTATTTAAATAAATGTTGATTTTCCACTGTAGACATGCGTAGCTCTTATACAGTAAATTTTATCCCTCCGCTACTATCACTACTTTTCTACCATAAAAAGTAATGGTTTTGTGTGTTTTTATTAGGACCTCTTAATTATGTTTATTATGTATTGGGGGATGGGGGGAGGGAGCTGCAACCTTTTTCTGTGGAGGTACTTTTGCAGAATCTTTTCGTTCTCCAATCTTGCAAAAATCAACCATATACAACAAAAGCGCCATCCATTTATGACACCTTGGTTTGCAGATGCTAAGCTTTATGTGTACTTTTACATGGAATTACACGGACTTGTTTATAATACTCCTCAGCACAGCATTAACGTCCAAACTAAACTGCATGAATTATCGGATGCGCATGGTCTTGACTGACAAGGTTAGTACCATTCCTTTGACAACCTCTAATTTTGACCAGTCCAAAGACATGACACTGTGGAACAAACTACGGCACGACTTCAACTCAGTTTCCGATTTGTGCAAGTTATTAGATCACGAAATTTCCGACATAGTTTTCTTATCCTTCGGCATCAACTTATTTATTATACTCGTACAACTGTATAACAGCTTAAAGTAAGTGATACCTTTGACCCTAAAATTAGCTAATGGCCATTTTCAGACCGCGTAGCCAAAGCGTCGTTGGGCAAGTATACTTTATGTATTCCTTCATGTTTTTGATATTCCGGGCGGTTGGTGTGCTGTTATATGGTTCTAGCATTCACGAAGCTAACAAAGAAACGGGAATTATTCTGATGTCCACTCCATCTGATGTGTATAATCCTGCTGTAAGTAAAGGAAGAAACTGTATGGCGCACTATATGTAAGTTTTCAGATTGAACGTTTGTTATACAAAATCAATTTTGATCCACTAGCTTTGACAGGGAAGAGATTCTTTTATGTTACCAGACCTCTAATTCTCAATGTAATGTTCGTGTGATGATTATTGATCTTGAATAGTATTGATGTGGTTTCAGATCGCTAGCGCTATCGTTACGTATGAATTGGTTTTACTTCAATTCCATATGGTCCAATATTAATCAAGCAAATGCGAGTTGATGTGAATTGATTTGTAATTACATTTCTTTGTAATAAATCTTATCACAAATGCAGCACTGAATAAGCGAAATCTGTCTGATCGTTTCGATTTGACTCACCTACGGACTCGAAGAAACCAACATTGATTTTAGGTTCAGGATTTAGGTGGGTTATGAGAAGACAGTCATCATGAACTTCAAACATACTTATAAGGTTTTTCACCAGGGACCTTTTTTTAAACGAAACTCAATAGCAGCTTCGACAATCGACGTTGCCGCAAAATTTGCGTTGAGTCCGGCGTATATAATTAGCGAAGCACAAAGAAAAAGGGAAGACGGGTAGCAAATGTGATAGCGTAAATTTCGTCTTCGCGGTTTTAATGGCTACAAGAACAAAATTGTCTTAAAAAGTAGATAATTCACGGTAGATTGGCTACTGCTTGTTTGTAAAGTTCGAGTAAACATTTCGCTTTCCACGCGCAGTTTTTTTTGTTCTACGCGACGTTATTATCACAGATATTAATTCCTTAACTTACTTTAATTACGCTAATATCCAGGAAACACTACTGCTTCAGGTCAGGAATGTGCCTAGTGTTGTTTTTCCTACCTGTGCATTTTACTTCCTAGTAGTAAAATAGTATAGATATTTCCGTATTAGTCGGCATTCTCCTTGTTATTCTTAAAGATTATGCTTCCTTGCTTTTGGCGGTCACTTTAAATCTGTTCCACAAGAACATCTTGGGCCGCCAGCAGGGGCAGGTTGTTTTTGGGTCGGTACGGGTCTCGGTGTGACTTCTGTGTCTTCCTTTTTGTTGACTGCTAGTGGATATAGTTTGGAAATCGGGCGTTTATATTCTAGATTGCCCGTTTGCTCTATTTTATTCTATGTTGTAGATTATGGACATATTCCGCGGACTAAATTTTCCAGAAATCCTTTTCGATCCTTTGTAGTTATCCTACCACTACCTTATAATGGGCCGGACCTCTTCTGTCAGATCAGTCTCATCTGGTGGCATCTGGAGCGGTCGTCCGTTGAAGATGTGAGGCGTGAGTACCAATAAGTCCTCTGCATCCTTTTGTACTGCGTACAATTGTCGTGAGTTTAGTACAATACTGTTAATAGCTCTTCGTACTGCCTCCGGTGATCCTTTTTCTCGATGTCGGCTATCAGTACTACAGCATACTGTCTCCATCTGAGTAGAAACTGGGATAAATCACCTTGTAGTTTTGGTATCCGTGATCATCATCGCGTTCTGGCTTTTCCCTGAACTGGAGGTGGTTGAAGCATCAAACACGACTCGAAATTTTGTAGTGGAGCTTTCCTCTTTTAATACCGAATGGTGGGGATTGTAGTAACTCGCGGGTGCCACCCTGCATTTCGAAGTACCGTTAAGTCCCAGCTCTTCATGTTCTCCCATAAAAGCTTTGTACTTCAAATTCTTGATAATAGGAAAACTTCCTTTCTATCTGTAGATGGCCAGCGGTTACCTTCTTTTCGTGTCTCCAACCTCTTCTTCAATTTCCCAAAATTTGGTCAGCGCGGCCTCGTCCGTAATGGAGACCAACTTTGATTGAGTACGTCTTCTTCCCGACAACCTTTGTCTTCTCGAGGTTTCTTTATCATTTACTTGACCAGAAACCTTTGGGCCAGGGACATTATAGTGATGGTCGGGAGCTGCCGTCAGCAGGGCATTGAGGTATTCTTTGTAGGCCATGACCAATTCATAGGTTTGTGTGTAGAACTGGTGAAGTAATCAAGTCCTGGCTCTTATTGCAGTGTCATGATATGTCAGTGGCGTAGGCTGAACGTAGTCCAAGTCCATTGCGCTGCTAACTCACTCTTTTTTTGTGGGCGATCTCGTCCCTAGCTTCCGGAGGCGCTCGTCGGATCCTTCCAGCTTTTTTAAAGTTGGTTAAGGACCTCTCCACGGCTTTTTTACTCGCTATTTTTTGGTCACTTGAGATCACTTGACTGGAATCGGAAAACTTGACTCGAAGGACCAAGCAAAACTTACACAAGGTAAATTCGGTCGAGCATTATCTTATATAATTCAAAACTGTACCGGGTTTGAATTATAAGATAACATACCGTTCCCGAAAGTTAGAAGGTTTGATAATGTTTTAGTGATCTATTACAGTATATTTATATCAAAGATACTTCCTTAACCTACTTGAATTACCCTAATATCCTGGAAAAGCTGCTGCCCATTCCTGTCTGCCCAGCCCTGTCCATTTTACTTCCCAGTAGTAAAATAGTAGGTATACACATTTCCGTATTAATCTGTATTTTTGCCGGCTATTCTTCAAGATGATACCGTGTGTTTTGCATCGACGAATCAATATTCGTAAAGCGCGAAAATAAAAATATAAAGATAACCATGTAAATAAAATTGTAGTACGCTTTCTGAAACATCGCGTAATTATTTATGAACTTTTATCAACATCGCGAGTTCGAACATGTCAATCTAGATCTGTATTGGCGAAAGATTGGGATCGCTGCATGAATGAACGAGAACCTATACAACCTGGAACGAGCTGCATTTTTTTTCAATTGTCAACACGATTGGGGTTCTTCCATCGTTCATAAAGGAGCTGCAATTACCAAAGAACGCTGACCTTACCCTAGGGTAATTATCTACAACGCCGGAATCTCTGAATCTCTATGACGTTTTCGAATAATACGGAATAAGAGAGTTCGTAAATGTAGGTTTGTATTTGCTGCCAGTTGAAAAACTGTAAACCATTACAGTGATGTGTAAAAAATTTCAAGTCAAATAATTAAATTTCCTATTTCTAACAAAACTTCCAGTTTTCAGTTTATGAACTCATTCTCATTTAAGTTCAATGTAATAGTGCAATATGGGTACGATTACTAAACATTCAACATAATTAGCTCAAAGTTAATATTATTAAAGTCAGATCAATAAGAGTAAATAAACATTTAGTAGTAGCGTGTCCATAAAATAGTACAATCTCCAAAAAGGCGTGAAAACGGTTCATTAATTACACAGACTTGTTATGACTTTATAATCGTTGACCGACCTGCATGGCTATGTATCAAAACATGTAATATGCGGTATCTGAAATGAAATCAGAGATGATAAATTATACCTACCTACACAAGTATTAAAAGACAAATGCGTGCAGGTATACCTAATACAAATAAAAACGCCTGAGAAATGACAATTTGCGAGTATTTCTCCTAGAAACCAATGAAATTGTTTGTATTAAACTAGCGCCGATAAATTGTTATTGAGGAAATGTGTTTATGAAACCTTACTTACAGCTCACGTCAATCACACAATCGGAAACGAACAACGTTTTCAAGTTTCAAATCGATTAAGTGGATAACGTAAATTATGTACACAGCTTTATATTAATTTCGATCGGTTTTCTCTTTAAATCAAAACCTTTCAGTACCAACGCGTTCAGATAATGTACAAAAAATCGAATCAAATATTCACCCTCTACAAACCAAATCCCATACCGAAACCTAGAAAGAATTTAAACACGTCCAGACGAAATTTTCATCAATGCTTGAAATGGATGCTGCTGGTAGCTCAGTGTTTTGGGCAAATTCCCGTGATTGGTATTACCGATCCCAGCGCAAGATCTTTGCAGTTCAAGTGGAAAAGTTGGAGAACAGTCTACGCCCTACTGAATTGTCTGGGATCCGTTTGTCTGACTGGAACATTTTTGGGAAACTTGCTCGTGAATGGAATGGATCTTTTCTCCTCTAGTAAGAAACCCTTAGGAGATTTAGGTGTTATCGGAACTGTTTTAGCATCTGTCGCATTTCACGTCAATACTATGGTTGTAACGTTACTGTTTTTTAATTTGTCGAAAAACTGGCCACATCTGATGAATAAATGGGCAGACGTAGAAGACTCGATGAGTAGTTATGGATGGCCCAAGTATTTGGATATTAGAATCAATGGCACTGTCCTAGTTGTTTTAACTGTGGCAATAAGTGAGTACGGGTGTGAAAAATTAAACCAAGTCAATCTATAAAAACACAAAATTCTGCTGAGCTGAATTAAATCAACGGTTCGACAATCAATAGTCAATAGAATGTTGTCAGTTGCAGACAGACAAAGGGACAAAAACTAACACTATTTGAAAGGCTTTCAATTACGTAACAATATTAACAACAACATTAATATAATATACGTTTGGTAGCATAGAAACAGTAAATAGTTAATTAGTCTGTCCTGCTTGGATTACCGCATATCTTTTCCACCTGACACCTTGGGCACGTTAGGCAAATCATTAAAAAAATTAGGTAGCAGGAATAGATTCGAACCAGTGCAGTATTGTTACATTCGAGGGCAGTGGAAATCCTCTTGATTACATCTGCTCCATAGTGATCTATGAAGAATGTGGTAAACTGCAAAAAATAAAGGAGTTGAAAAATGAATCACATATCCATTATCATTGTTTAAAATATGGGGAGTGGGGGTATTCCTGGTTCAGTAATCGAACTTACAGTTACAATTAAGTACATGGAACCTACCAAAGAAATTTGAGGGATTATGATACACATGATTAAATCTCCCCCTCAGATGTTTAATAAATCCATTTCTTTTGCATTGATTAATGGCCTCTGAAAGGGGTAAAATAGCGTAAGTAGTGGGTATCAGGGATGTAAATGTGATTTTCAAAACTTCTTTTGACAGAGCCACCCCTAGGTGGTCATTCAGCACTAAATTTTTAATCTGAAGAGAGGGAAACCCCTTCAGTATTTTGTGACCTCCCTCCTTCCGTATCTAAGCATATCCAAATATTCCACTGTGCCATACGAAAATATGTAGGTCCCCTCGTAAGGTTTTGTTTAAGTGGGTTACCCGATGAGATCAGGGTTTTTTATAGCCTTGTACAGTTGTATAGATCAAGTCAGCACCGGAGCATAAACATATCAAGGCTCCACAATTTTCGTTTGGAAGCTTTGCATAATAAGTAACAAAATTTGCTGTTCTTTAATTTTATATATGCACTCATAGAAGAATTGTAAGTTAAAATTTGATCCATTGTCATTTAAGTGTTCTTTTAATTGACATCAGTTTTCTGACTTTTCATGTGAATAAAATCTGCAGTTAGACCCTCCAATTTGAAACTGTCTAGAAATCAGTCTCAGCTATAATTTATGGTTTTATGACTTGGAAGCCTTACACAATCATTATCACGATCCCATTAGCAATTTTGTTGGGAGAATTTTGTCTTTTACTATGATTGCTCGTGTTTCATAAAAATGTTCCATGTTAAACATGCGAGTAAAATGTTTTGTGCTACGTACTTCACCTACAGCGATCCAGATCCTAATTAAATTTATACATTACAGTAGAAACGTCCATTGTAAAAGTCCAAAAATTTCTCTTATCGAGCGCAAACGGAAAAGACGAATCCCTATTTGAGTATTATATCACCGCGCTGATGTATCCCCATGTGTTTCAACGTATAGAGTACTCAATATGGTGGGCAATTCCCATGCAGGTCTACCACATATTTCAAGTGTCTCATTCTAAATTGAGTTTTGCAGATCATCAATATTTTACTAACATTTGCTTGGACATTTAATGATCTTTTTCTGATACTAATCAGCACCGGACTGGCCGTCAGATTTCAACAAGTTACTGCAAAATTACGAATTTTGAAAAACACAAAGGTAATTTCGGGGATGATGTGACAAAGCAACTTTCGGCAATTACCTTTACTCATTATGTTTGTAAACGACCGTACTGCAGCAAGTTGATTTGTTACTAATTCTACTAGTTTATTCAGAAATTATCGTTGGACAGAATACCAGTTTGGATGATTGGAGAGCAATAAGAGAGGATTATAACAGACTAAGCCAGTTGACAAAAACCGTAGATGACGCCCTATCATTCATGATACTGGCCTCATACACGAACAACCTCTTCTTTATCCTTGTTCAACTTTTCAACAGCTTAAGGTAGATAATTTCTTTGGAATAATCGTATCCTAACTGACGCTTTGTTGCAGGTCGATGAAAGATACCTTAGAAAAGGTTTATTTCTTCTTCTCTTTCGGTTTCATGATAATCCGAACGGTTAGCGTGTCAATGTATGGTGCTTGGATCTACGACGAAAGTAAAGAACCGGCTACAACCCTGAACTCAATTTCTTCAGACACATACAATCCAGAGGTTATAAATTTGTACATTTTCTAGTGAAATGTAACTGGTTTGTTTTAGATAAAAAGGTTCATTGATCAAATTAAGTTTGATACTGTTGCGTTATCTGGCAAGCATTTCTTCTATATAACCAGGGGGCTTATTTTAAGCGTAAGTATGTACCTAGTCGGTGGAAAATGTGCGTGACTAACCATTTCAGATGGCCGGTGCAATTGTTACCTACGAATTGGTTTTAATACAATTTAATGTTAATCTGTTACAAGATGGTACGTCTGAAACTTAAATAATTGTAGGCATGCACTGAGCCTTTGGTGTAAATTAGCAATGTCAAACAGGTAACAAATAATAAAATAATGTCACTACGTGCGAGAATTGTTTTTTTTTCTTGTATAGATGACTAAAGCATTAAATGTATTTATGCACTCAAAGTAGTCAAACAAAAACAGAGATAGCTTGCAAAGGGTAGTACAGGTAGATGAGAGGTTAGATGTTACAGTCGCACCTATTTCTTTAACTAGCTCTTCACTTTTTGGAGAATACGAGCGACTAAGACAGTACGGTCCATAGATTCCGAATGGATTTGGCGATCTATATTTTCCGACTCATTGGTCGTGATGAACGGCCAATCGCCTGAAAAAGTTACCTGCGCCAGTCTGATGGGCGGTAATACAATCATAATGGGATTTAAGTAACCAAAACAGCTAAATCAGGTCTATTCATGACGAGATCATAGAGCTCGGCGAGAAGCCCTATAGTTGCAGTTTTTGAAACAGCCGTGGGTTTTTTATGGCCCAAAGGCGTAGATGATTAGTTTAGGCACAGATCTACACATACACAGATTGCTAACCTTATGCATTTTTTGGGAAACAAATTTAGGTATACTTAAAAGCGCCCTCTATTGCGGAGCAGTATAAACATGTATCGTTTAAAACTGTAATATGACGCTTATGGATTTATGCGTTAGATGTCGCTGAAACAAAATTAAAGCGCTAAAGTGTGCACAATTCGAATTCCTTAATATTCGTATTATTACAGTGGTATGATATGATAGGAGGTACGTTGAGCCATAATTGTGTAGTAACCCGTTCGCTAGGGAGTACACCTAGGAACTGGAATTACTCGGGGAATTGGGAACTGGTCAGAGTAATAGAGGTAACGGCTTGCACGTTTTAATAAAGGGTTGAAAGATTGTTGTTTTAATGACACTATAAACACTCACTCACCTCGACGGCTAATTACGATTAACCCCCTAGGGCTAACGGCAACACACTCAACACAAGGAACGGCAGGGGTGCAGGTTAACAAAGGTTTTACAGGTACTGGAACGACGGTTAAGGGTACAAATTATATAGGAATAAATCACAGGTAAATAAGGCTGGTTAATAGCAAAAGGCACTGGTAAAGATAGAAGCAAAAGTTACAAACACTGGACTGACACAGGTATATATAGCTTGGAGATCTGGTGGGGAAGACGATTAGGAGGGGCGAAATTAAGTGGAAATATCTGGGCGAAATCTCATTTACTGGTTTGGGGCAGATTATTTCCTCACCCTTAATTTCGTTTCCTCACAATTGTTTAATTTAACACTGAAGCTACTCATTCGTCGTAAGGAAGTTATTAAAAGCGGGTCCCTGTGGTCACAGATACACACGAACATAGGGCAGGTTCTTAAAGAATCGTGAAGGTTTTTTGAAGTTGGCGGACACTATTTGCGGCTTTAAAGGTCTTGACAAATTGCTAACCGCAAAGGCATACTTACAAACTATGTATATCTCTGCCATCATTAACGTTACACTCTTTACCACGCCGATAAGATATAAGATAGGGAGGTTATTTTCGAAAAGTTGATAGTTTTCGAGTTGTAAGCACAAAACTGCTAAAAAAATATCTTATTCAACTTTTTTTGTATTTTTTTCAATGTTGCGTCATGAAATTTTGTTAGCAAACCTCAGATTCGGATTCAGCACCCCAAAAAACATATAGAATCAAAGAAATCAAAACCACCCCACAACTTTCCTGGTAAAAATACAATTAAACTGGATTATATCTTTGAATATAAAATTAGGAAGAAGTCTAAGCCTGTACTTTCGCGTGGGTCTCTAAAAGTACCTTGAGCGATAGATGGAGCCACGAAATGAACGTGAAAAGTACCTTTGGATTTATATGCGCGCTTTCCGAAGGCAGTCACTGCTCTTCCTTCTTACAGAGCGTTTTATGTGTAGGACAAAGATAGCCTGAACTCTCCCACTTGCACTCATTGATTTGTTACCGTACTCTTATGTTGATAATGGGCGCGCGTACATAATTGAAAACGCTGCAAATACCAATTTAGACACAGAAAATTTCATAGAACAAAAATTGTAGACAATTAAATTTACTATAAAAAAGTCCGCGACGGCATATATCTATCTTTAATCGTTTAGCCTTACCAACCATTTAAAGTTGTACCTAGTGTCCTCGTTGGTTTCAATAATATCTTTGAATGCTTATCATATATGAATGGTTAAAGATACATACATGCTGCCGCGGACTTTTTTGTAGAAAATTAAATTCTCTACAATTTATGTTTTATGAGTTTTTCTGTCCGAAGTTTCGTTTTCACAGCGTTTTAAAGTAAATGTGGGTACCTTTCGTTTTGTGACTGAATCTAAAATTCAAAGGTTGTGAGCAATTTGATTGTACGTGATGATAGGGTTTTGTGTGCTATTTAAGTTTTATAAGAAGTGTCCTGTGCCTAAACCCCCTAGTTTTTAGGTTATTCAATATTTTTCACAAAACAATAATGAATTACATGTTTATAAACAGGATCGAGTAAGCAGTGATAATAGAAACCAAAAGAATTCCAGTAAGCAAGTGTCACAAGTAAATTATCTGCTGCAATTAATGTGCTCCCTATTTCGTAGCAAAATAAGATTAATTAAAAAGGCGAATTTCGAACTAGTCTTTTTAAAAAATCTTATTTTACTAAGAAAAAATGAGTACCTACACTTGCAGCAAACAATTAATTTATGGCACTTGTTTACTATTTGGCATTCTTTGGTTTTTTATTATCACGGTTTACTTTTGTTTATAAATATGTAATTCATTAATGTGTAACTGTTTAGTGAAAAATATTGATTAATTTAAAAACTACGGGGTTCAGGCACAGGATATTCCTTCTAAGAATTGAAGAGCGCACCACAGACCATCGAATAGAGAAACAAAATAGTGGTACTTCCATTTGAATAAAAATAGTTATAGCACTTTGAAATCTAGAAATTTTACAATTTTTTTGTAAACACTCTGTATCATTAAATTCAACTTCCTCATTACCTAAGTGTTGCCTTTTATTCAGATTAAAATTATTGATTTCTATTTCTTAACTTTAAAATCAAGGTCGCTACGATTAATCAAAGTGGGGCTGGTTTATAGAGAATTATTCGAAAAAAATTAATAATTTGGGCTGCAGAGGTTAAAATGACATCGAATTAGCTAAAAATAAACATGCTGTTCCATTTAAAAAAATCAGCTGTGTATTGACACCGTAAACATGAGACACTCTGTACATCCAAATATAATTTCTGTATATGCATAACATTCTGTATAATTGATATAAAACGTAAAAAACGAAGAAAGAATGGGAAAATTTTGCATTTGACTTCAATTATCTCTTTATCTATTGCTCTGAGAGAAAATGAAGAGAAATGAATTTGATTAGAATCGAATTTTCTATAAGATACAGTTGGTATGGAACATTCATTTTCAAAAGTTATTGTTTTTTTATGGAAAGATATAAAAAAAGTAATCCCGAAAATTAACAATCTGTTACTAAGCAAAATTCATCCTATCTTTTATATTATCCGTAGCTTGATAACGGAACAATACGGCAACCGATCACCCGATCACCGTAGGTATCATAGTCGTTGATTAATTAAAAACACAAATTAAAAAATCCATGCTTTGTCTTTCAAAGTGGGTGACTCCCAGATTCTCCCCCAATTCTTTCCGCTAGTGGAACCCTAAGCAAACCGTTTCCAACAATTGTCCCGATGATTCTTGCAAATTGACGGACTGTCAATTTTTTTTTTCAAAATCCGAAGACTTTTGCTAGTTAACAAATGGAATAATTTCCGAAATATAACAAGAAATGTGACTCCATAATAGGCGAACAGAAACCTCTCGGAAAATGTACCTAAATTTAAAAAAAAATACGTCGAAATCCGTCCGTCAATTTGCAGAAATCATCGAGACAACTTTTGGAAAAGGTTACTTTGGGGTTCCACCATCTGTACAAAAATTTAGAACGCTATGAGAGTTATCCAATTTGTTTGTTTATTTAATCAATGGCTATGATACCTACTTACGGTGATCGGGTTTGTCGTATTGTTTTGTTATCAAAAGAAGGGACCAAATACGGATTTTCAAAAAGATCGGATGAATTTTACTCAGTAATAACAGATTGTTAATTTCCGGAAATGCGTTTTTTTATATTTCTCCATAAAAAACAATAACAATTAAGAATGAACGTTCCATACTAAATGTATGGTCTACATAGACAATTCAATTGTAAACAAATTCACTTGAATACCTCACCGGAAAAAAAATGGAAAAGTTCATAAAAAATATCACTTCTCTTCATTTTTTCACTCGGCGAGATAATTGCAGTCAAATGCGAAAAAAAACATTTTCCCATTTTTTTCTTCGTTTTTTCTGTATAACAATATATTTCGAGAGTTTCCGGCCAGGGGATTAGATTTTCAGATTCAGCGGATTTTTTTACATAGAGTACATTTGGTCTTGTTGAGTGCTGAGTGTTGAGCCCAAACCGTACTTTTGATGAATCATAGGGCTTTGCTTCGCCCCCTTCTGATAGTGTATTATTAGTATGGGTAAAGATAACTGTGTAAAAAATATAGCAAAGAGCTCTTGGGTATGGCTATAGTATGTGCAAAACCAAATTGAACCTGGTGTTAGATTTGCTTTTATTCCAAGTGCATATGTATAAAATTTCAAAAATGCGTTCTATAATAGTGTGCGTTTATGGAAGAACACCATAGATTTTTATATGTTCCTAAGACAGTTTGAAAGATCGTGTGACAATATCCAAGGACTGTAAAAAATTTTTCACAGCATTTTTTTCTTTTGTTTTTTTTTTTATTTTAATATTCTTAACATATATTTTTTATATTCTTTATGTTTTCGAATAGTTTTTTTATTAACAATACATGATCATTGTTATTGGGGTAACCTGTTATGTTCATAAATAAATAAATAAGTTGGCACTCTGCATGCGCAAAACCAAGTGCATATGTAGCTTATAAATTAAAAAAAGTTTGCAATTCGGTTCATATGTATATGACCGAGATACCAAAAGAGCACTATGCATTTTGAATCGATTAGGCTCAACTTTTGCCATTGCTTTTGCATTGCTAAAGCTATGCCCATATTGAATTTCATGCAATTCAATTCATAACTCACGGATATGTCAAAAGGGCCTTCCTTATTATACCGCAAGGAGCTCGATAATATTATGTGAATTGCACTAATAATAAAAATAAAAATAAGAACATCATTTTTTTCATTTCCCATTTTCGCATATTTCCCTTGCGCTTTGAGCAGAATGTGAAAAAAATAACGACAGTTTCAATTTTTACAACGCTTCGATCATCCCATCCCAACCGGAACCCCCAAAAGCACCTGAAATTATAACAACATGTAGGTCAAGGGTTCGAGTCGTACCTACGCCAGATTCTTTTTTAACTAAAAAGTTTATTAAAAATTCAAAATTACGATGTGGGTACATTTTTTTACAAACGCTGAGAAAACAAAAAGAGATACAAAAAAGTTATAAAAGATAAATTGTAGAGAATTTAATTTCCTACAAAAAAGTCCGCGATGGCATATATGTATCTTCAACCCTTAATGTGTGATAAGCAATCAAAGATACTATGAATGCCAACGCAATCAAGATGCGCAACTTTAAATGGTTGATATGGCTAAACGATTAAAGATAGATATATGCCGTCGCGGACTTTTTTGTAGTACATTTAATTGTCTCTAATTTTTGTTCTATAAAATTTTGTGTATCCCAATTGGTATCGGCAGCGTTTTCATTTAAAGTGCGCGCGACTATTATACGTACCAACAAAAGATTACAGTATTGAAATCTTCAGTGCAAACGCAATTCGGAGCATAAATTCGCTCTAAAACCGATTATATTATTATAAAAGTGGGAGAGGTACACCTTACCTCTCCACCGATTGTCACGGAACCACAAGTTCCCATTAGGCTAGACTTCTTCCTAATTTTATATTCAAAGATTGAGGTGAGCTATCTGTTGTAGTTACTCTGTGCCCATAGTTCAAAGAATGTACGCAATTCAACTTTTTATTCTCGTTATGATACATATGATTTTTAATGAACAATTGAACGTTCCTATTGGAATACTCCCTAAATCGTTACGGTTTCATAGATAATGGGAATGAAAAATTTATAAGAGCGCATTTTTTGTAAAAATAATCCTGAAATTTAGAAAGATGAAAATCTAAATCACTGGGATTCAACAACGAAAGAGATAAAACTTAATAAATCTAATCGACAAATATGACAACTAAGAAATTTATTAATTTCTAATCCTGTACAGTATGCAATAGTGCTTAATTTAATTGTACACAAAAAATTACAATTACTCCCTATTAAACATATGAAAAATTAGCGAACATAATAAACCCAGTCAGTTCATCTCTGGTGTAATAAAAAAATTTACAATTATTTTTGTCATACATTTAATTAGGAGTCTATATATTTCTACTTAAAAGTCCTATTGCCAATATTAAATAAAAGAATGTCTCTACTTGATGGTACTGTAACGAAATGATGGAGTATGATAGCGTAACCTTCTTGGCAATTTTAAAACGCGAACAGCAGTAGGAAGGACATCATAAGACAAAACAATCCCATAGCTTCAGATAAGGCGAAACCTAAGATAGCATATGAGAAAAGTTGCTGTTTTAAAGATGGATTTCGGGCATATCCAATAATTAGTGATCCAAACACTGTTCCAATACCAGCTCCTGTAACAAAAGCAATTAGTATTTCATATCAGTCTCAATTTAGAGAAATTAAATGAAAACATACCACTTGCAGACGGATTTCAAACACAAAAACAGTTAAAGGGCAAACAATAAAAGGAACGCAATCATTAAACAAAATAAACCCATAGCTTCCGATAAAGCAAAACCAAGGATAGCATAGGAAAACAATTGCTGTTTTAGGGAGGGATTTCGGGAGTAACCAATAATTAAGCATCCAAATACTGCACCAATTCCAACACCTAGAAATAATGTTAGCTGTACTAAAACAAGCATACACATGACCATCACTATGACCTGTGAAATATGCATTTTAAGTGCCAAAATTTAAATTGATACCATTTTAAACTTTGGTCGGCGCTAATCTAGTAAATTCTGATCAATTATGGGATGTATTCTTTGACTGCACTATTATCAGTAATTTTTACAATTAAAAAAAAAAGTTTCAGGTAATGAAACACCAAAAATGTATTGGTAATTTTTGAACATATTCCTATTACCAAGACTAGCGAGTAACCTTTGCTATTCAGTATTTTTTGCCCTAAAAAAAAATAAAGCACAAGAGCAGCAATTTTTTTGTGAAAATGATTTTTTTTTAGTATTTCCGTAATGATGAACAAATTTCATATTATCAATACAATATGTAATGGTGTCCTGATACCAAAGAGCCATTAAGAAAAAAATTAATGTGTAATACGAGATTTTGACATCTATATAATTTTGTCCATTGGACATCTTTACACCTAAATGCTGCTAAAGTTGAGGGTGCCTGAAAAAAATGCATTATCACAATACCTTTCACACAGGAGTCATGCAAATGGATTAGAATAGGAAAAAGCAAATTTAGAAAAATGCTAAGCAACCCCTAAACTCATTGAACATAAGCTCAATTTAATTATGAAATTCAAATTAATTACACATACAACGTCCTTTATGTAAAAATGTCATGCACTATGCAAATCTAATGTTATTCGTTAACATTTACCGATAATTAAAATTATTTATACCTAAAAGGCAATACAAACCTGAGCCAGCAACACCAACTGTAGCCGCACCCGCACCAATAAACTTAGCAGCGGAATCGATATCCCTAGTTACAGCTGTAGTTTGAAAACTGCGGATTGCAGGTAAAAGTGTGGGTTTCTGAGACTGTTGTTGGACAACTGGCGACTGAACTAACAATTGGCTACTTTGACTTAATGTACTGCTAAGTGGCCGTAAAAAGGTCTTTGGACTGGCAATTATCTGAAAAAATAGTTTTAGTGAGCGATTATGTAACATGCTAGGGATACACATTGATTATCTTTATTATGTAACAAGCACACTGTACTAAAAAGTCACTAATTTTAAATAAATTTAAAGCAATAGCCGTGCAAGATACTTACTGCACTTCGTGCAAGGGGTGCAATGACTTTAGCACAGGCAAACATGTCTGCAATTTGATTTTTCTTTACACCAAACCTAGAACAAAGGAGTTTATTATTTCACTAAGAATTACAATTGGAAATAGGTAGGTTAACGGGAGTGACTATTTTTCATTTATCAATTAATCTTAAGATTTTCGTAGGTTACGTAATGAAAGACGGCGACATACAAAGTAAAATCGATACAATTATGAGGTTTCGGTATTCTAAAATACACGGATCACTGCAGTTCCACTCGTAAAATTATCCTACTTTCTTATGTAATGACAATTCTCCGGTGACAACCAAAAATGGCCGATATTGAAATCTTTTACATAACACAAAATATTCACGAAACGTCCATAAATACTTAAATCCGTAGTAAAAGAACGACACTATAATTGATTATAGAAATTTCCAATGTCGGATGATTTAATTAATTTAAGATAACTTTGGAATTACTCACTAAAACACAAGTACGGGCACCTACCTAAAGAAACAGTGTCAGGAGGAGGACAACCGGCGTACCTCTGGAATGTAACTACTGAGTCGCTTTGAAGGGGACCTGGCAACTGAGATCGTACATATAGGATTCATATAAGAGGAACGAGGACGATTTGTGTTCGTTCGGTTCCGTTTTCAGATTTTTGCGCTGAGGAGCCATCGACTCGAGTATTAGCGAGATCTACTAAACCGGCGCTACAAAACACATGATCATTTAAAAACCGGCAAAAGTTAGTGCACATAACCAAACGATTGGATTTAAAAATAATGGCTGTGTTTTTTAATAATGACTGCACGTATGGCTGCGGCAAAACGTTTCCTACTAAATCGTACCTGATTCATCACATAGAATCGACACATTTAGGTTTGTATGTTCTCATTTTGCGTATACAGATGCTGTCAATAATGTCATTCACAGATTTTGATATTGAAATGGAAGAATATGAGAGTGAAATACAAGCTGATTCATGTGTACCTCTTAGTTACATACTGAGGTATTCTTCGTTTGAATGTCCGGATCTATCAAGTGTCGCAAATCGTGAGGGCATTTTCAATCATTCCGCGCAAACTGAAAATCAGATTTGTATGTATATTACCTACATGAGAATTGAAAAATTGCACTCATTGTTACATTCATATCTACAGTCAGTCTCCCTTTTAACGTCAAAGGGATACTGAGTGCGGAAACTAAAAATCATTTGCTCAAATTGTAGATAATTTAGTCGAATTAACCCGATGGGTGATTTTGCTATGGGGGCAAATGATGGTGACACAATTGTTTTCATGGTAATTTCTCCCAACCTGGTTAATGTGGTTCAACTCTAATTTAACATCTCATGTTGAATTTTTAAAGGTATTCTTTTTTCTGCATTTTTGTGTAGGCTCAGAATTACTAAAAGTGGTGTGTGACCCTGGATTTTGGAAGCTTGTCACCCGGTTAGATGAACATCGTGTCTTGGGCTAAGGGTATAACAGATGGGAGTTCATTAATCCAAAAATAAAAGTAGCACCTGTGCCGTATTGCACAGTTACTGACACTGTACAAATATCGCCTACATGTTGCACACATTGATGTAGGTAAATCAGATGTTAATCTGAGGTTTTGTTTAACCATAATCAAACTTGCATGTTTGAAACTGATTAAACCTAGGATCTACAGGGTGTTTTTTTGGGAGCTTTAGTTAAAAGTTTCTGGGAAAGTAAAATAGGTAGGATTTTGAAAATTTGTACTTAGGAGTTACTCTGAAAGCCGAATCGATGTAAAATATTTTCAAAATGGCCGCACTTCCGGAAACACCGGAAGTAGATAGTAACTTCGTTATTTTAAATAGCAACCCCAATTTTTTATTGGGTTTTTGGATTCTACGTGAAATTTCAGTTCTTATATCTGCCATTTATGGTTTTTAAGTTATTTTGACTTTAAGAAAAAAAATGGCGGATGCAGATGGTACCTTGATAATTGATTACTTGAAAAAGGTTATAGTCATGGCAACCCATTTTTATCAGTGCATAGAGAATGAATAGGGCTTTCTTTTACTGTACTTAAAACAAAGTTAAGTTGCGTACAACCGCTCCTATGGAGATCCAAATTTAAGAAACTTCAAAGTCTATAAACTCAGTTTTTTTAAATGGAATGACCATGTTCTTAATATTGCATGAGATAGAGATTAGAGAATCGAAATTGGCATATTTTGATATTACATGTTCCTATAGCTATCTTTAACAGTTTCTGATTTATTCCCATTTCATTGAATTGATCTCGGAATTGATGCCATTTTTTTTCGCATTTTTTTTTAGTAGTTGGCCATGATTTTATAACAATCGAATTTTAAACAAATCAAGGAATGGATTCTTTAATACCATTGATTCTAGTTCTAGTCTAAATAATTCATTCATAAATAACTCATTTATTAAGGATATAGGACAGAAAATTTTTGAAAAATCTAAACAGAGTCGTTCAACTGAATTTCTTAAACAACGTATAAGTCTGGAAATTAAGAGAGGTAATGCGATATCTGTTCTAGCAACAATTCCATACCAAAAATGTTTCAACAAAGTTTTTTATATTTTGCATTGAATTTATTTTGTTAATCTTGCATTTGCAATTCAATTCATTTTCTTAAATATTCTCTTGTAGAGCTTTGTATAACTTGTGCTTCAACGGTTTGTAGTGCATTAGGGGTACAAAATTTCAAAAATTCATACAATTTCATTCTAGTTTTCGAATGAATGTGTACGGAAAGCACGCGCCGCGATTCTGCCCATTTCACCATAAATAACAATTAAATTCCAAAATAGGTGAAACCACTGCGAGTCATTTTTCGATTTTTGAAAAACTTATGTTAACCTATAACAGTGGGTGATGGATTAGTGTCACTAGATTTGTTTAAAATTCAATTGTTATAGAATCATGGCCGACTACTAAAAAGAAAATCCTAAAAAATAGTGTCAATTCAATAAAATGGGAATAAGTCAGAAACTGTTAAAGATAGCTATAGGAACATGTATTGTCAAAATATGCCCATTTCGATTCTCTATCTCATGGAATAGTAAGAACATGGTCATTCCATTAAAAAAACTGAGTTTTTAGTCTTTGAAGTTTCATAAATTTGGATATCCATAGGGGCGGTCGTACGCAACTTAACTTTTTTTTAAGTGCACTAAAAGAAAGCCCTATTCATTCTCTATGGACTGATAAAAATAGGTTGCCATGACTACAACCGTTTGCAAGTAATCAATTATCAAGGTACCATCTGCATCCGCCATTTTTTTTCTTAAAGTCAAAATAACTTAAAAACCATAAATGGTAGATATGACATATGGGTATCAAAAGAAGTGAAATTTCACGTAGAATCCAAAGAAGCAATAAAAAATAGGGGTTGCCATTTAAAATAACGAAGTTACTATCTACTTCCGGTGTTTCCGGAAGTGCGGCCATTTTGAAAATATTTTACATCGATTCGGCCTTCAGAGTAACTCCTAAGTACAAATTTTCAAAAACCTACCTATTTTACTTTCCCAGAAACTTTTAACTAAAGCTCCCAAAAAAACACCCTGTATATTAGACCCTTCCCTAAATTAATTAATTCGTGTTAAGAAGTATCTATTCCAAAAAACTTCATACGCTTACTGATCTAAACGATGGTTGGATTCATTTAAAACTTTGTTGCAAACTGAACTATGCAACGTAATTTCAAACGGAAATTGTAGGTTCAACTTCAGGCATCTTAGGTGATGTTTAGTTTGATGAGTTGATATTGGGGTTGAAGCATTAGCACAAACTGCTTAAAACAAAACAAACTACTTACCAACAGCGTGTAACAAGTATATGTGCTGAAACATTGGATGTAGGTAGTGTTTTTCCAAAAAAATTAAAGTAGTTAGAGCGCCTAGGTAAAAGTAACAAGAAGTTGGTGAAAATTTGGTCACTTATTCTCTGAGAGACGCACTTTCTAATGGTCAAAAGAAAAAAGTGTTCCTATGTGCCGTTTCTGAGATATTTGACAGTAAAAACAGGGTATTTTAACATGGGCTCTTATGGACAGACTCAGTTTTTCTGAGATAGCGAAGGTTTTTGTAACAAGACTTAAACGAGATGGGTCTCATTAGAAGCGAAATTTTGTGACGAATCTAAATATGCATGGAAAAGTACATGTTCATGATGAAATAAGGAAGATATTTACCGCCGGAGCGGCGTCTGCTCGGATGCGGCGGCACGCTATGCAGCACGCATTTAAATCTGATGACTTTTCCACTAGGTCTAGTATATAGCTGAGCTAGGACAATCTTTTCCTTCTTCTGCTGAGCACTTTTCTTCACAAAAGGCATGGTGTCTTTCAGAAAGAACACCAAAACCAGCGATATTTATAAAGGCCTGCACACGTCTTGTTGACACACTGATCGGATCGAGATCAAGATAGCGGCTGGGGATCTCTGGCGCCAACATCGAAAAACCAAATCCACTACACCGACTTCACGTAAAACGCCAAATTATTTAGTTTCTCGACTTTTACATACGTCTCGCATACGTTTTGTTTAAAAATAAATATATTCGTTTAGGATTTACCGCTTACACTGTGAATATTTAGTCGCGGTGTGTCGTCAACATTTAGTGTGCAAAGGTTTGAAACAGGGTCGAAAAGTAGGGAGACTAGTCAAGTTGACTACTGTATATATATACCTTTTTAAAAATCATGTAAGACGTTTGCATTGTGCTGAGGTACAAAATACCACTCATACCGTATTTCTAATTATGTTTCCTTCATAACAACATTTTTTTGGGGACGTTTACCGTAAGTAATAGGTAGGCCGAGTACATCACTTGACTTCAGCCGAACGCGCTCTAACTACTTTAAGGTTCAAAATGTTTTGTTCCTAAAATATTATGTGTGTTAGTAACTATAGGTAACGGATAGAATAGAACTTGGCTATAACGTGGCTATATGCAGGTTTTTGGGATAGGTCCGAGCTATGCTCTTTCTGATTTTGCAAATTTCTTACGTTAAGATGGCGTAACTCTAAACGGGGGTGCAAAACAATTTCAATGCTGACGAAACACTATAAAATGAGAAATCATTAGTTTATTATATTCCGACGTGTCGAGATAGACAATGAGGAAAATACTTATAGTCCATCCGTTATTACTATTCCGATATGTAATTAACCCCACTAAATGCAGCGTTAACTTTTTTTTACTTCACGTCGTCGATTTAATATAAATAATTCTCTCAAACAAACTGCAACGCGTTATTGTTGACGTGCAGAGTAAGAATGAACAAAGTACGGTTCCGAAACGGTTAAAAGTTACGCTGCATTTAGTGGGGTTAATTACATATCGGAACAGTAATAACAAATGGACTATAACTCCAATATTTATTGGACTGAAACGGATTATACTAAAACAAGAAAAAAACTTCATTATATTCTATGTGGAGAAGCTGAACTTTATTCAAATTTTTAGGTCATATGAACACAAGCAAAACACAAGCATCTTTCTTACCTAGGAAATTTGACGATGCGCATCTACGCACGGCATTTGAGTTTAAACATGGGTGCTACCTTTGCGTTTGTGAGAGAAGCATCTGTGATTAAATTTAAAAAAAAACTTGGTATCTTGGTATTCCCGAGTCATGCGCGGATTCAATTTTCACTATACGCGCTACTTTTGTTTTTACTAAAACCATCTGTGGTTAAAAATTTTAAATCTGTAAATAATAAAGTTAGCATTGTGCTTCCTGATTTTTACTGTTTGCAACTCGTTTACTGTAGTATACTTTACAGTGACCCAATTTAGAACAGTGGTGACAACCGGGTATGTTGTTTTAGATTGGTAGTTGGTTCCGGGTACCATATTAGGGCTAAATTGCTATACTTTGGTATAGGACTTTACAGGTTTTTTTGGTGTTTTTGCGAAATTCTGTGAATAAGAGTGCTGCTTAAGGTAAAATCTATATTGTGGACATTCGGTTCTATATAAAGACATAGTTTGAGAAATTCATTACGAAAAGTTTGGTTATGCTGCTCACTTGTGGTTATAAATACGCTTGAATTAGTTTAAATTTTAACATTTATTGCTGAAGCACAACCAATATTGTAGTTTTTATGGTACATTGTTCCTACGCTGCCTTGTTTAAGTTAGCCCCAATATGGCGGATAGGCAGGACAAGTTGTCCCCACTGTCCTAATACAGTCACGGTAGTGTACTAAACCTCCAGGTACTTCGCTAACCTTACATTAAAATAACACGGAAATAAATCATCCCGGCTACGTTTAAAAATGGCCACCGAAAGTACGATAGGGAAGGAAAAGAACAAAAAATAAAACACTAAGATGGTGCAATAGTATAATTCGTATTTTGAATAAATCTTTGCATTTTGATCAGTTATTGAATCGCGGAAATGAATGTACGCACATAACTTTAGAACGGCTGCATCAAATTAGATAAATTGGTAGATGGGTTTGCTATTATCAGAACAAGATTTGTATAAAAGATAATTTCCAAAAAATTGCATGGCAAAAAGTAACAAAAAAATTGTTTCTCTTTTTCGTGATTTTAAATCGCAATATAACTAGTAGATTGCGACAAAGCGCGATATACTACGTCTCTAGAAGAATCCATACCGAGGCGTGAGGCGAAAAAGTAGACGGTTAAACATATCAATTACGTATGCTGGCGAAGGTTTCTGATATTTAACGTGGGCGAGGAAAACTAATCGGGAGAAATTTTTTAACGTAGATTCAAATACAAATTATAATTTACCACACCTGCTGGTGGAGGGTGTTCCGCCGACCGGCTGCCAGACAAAATAAAATTTCGGCGTCGAACGCACGGCCGCCGGTGAGTGAATCAACTGACACATTTGTTTCATTATATTCAAGTCTGTGCCTGTTGACACACGAATGGGGATATTTCCGTCGTCGTCCTGTATCATCGTATACCTACAGAAGTCGAGTCGACGAAACAGCGGGTGAGCCGATTAACCGTCTGTGTGCAATAGATCTAAGTCCTACGCTGGAGCGGGACGATTGGGCAAGGTGAAGCGGGGCATCCGCCGAAACCGAGCTTATGGCCCATTCGTGAGCGGGACATTGACTGATAGGCGGCACCAAGTTCGCCGGGTCCGCTAGTCACTAATCTCGAGTGAGTAATAGTGAAATGGTTGATGGTAAAACATAATAACTGTAAATCATATACACAAAACATAATAGCAAATAGGTACAAGTTAAAAGCAAGTTTCAAAACAAAGAAATTGGTTGGGGTACAAGTAGAAAACAGAAGAGGTAGCTGTACAACAGGTGACCCATCTTTAGTGCAAGAAATCCCTTTTGTTAAAAGCAACATAGAAAATTACAATGACTTTAGAAGGCAAATTCAACGTAGCACGAATCGCGGAAATTATAGTGAATCTCAACTCATAATAGTATCGCACATATTCTAAACTGAAGAGGTTTGGTTGATTGACGGGTAACAATGGGCCATCGGCAGGATTTCCCAGCCCATAGTTCTGATTCTAGAACAGTCCCGGCACTAGGTGTCGTAACTAACGTGGTGACCGTTATTTACCACCCCTGCCTCATTCATGGCGAAAATCTTAACTTACAAACAAGTCCATATACACATCAAACTTCAAACAATTCGATAAGTTCTGTATGTTTCAAAGAATGATCAAAACATAACAATAAATTGCTTTAGTGCAATCAATATTTTAATCTTGGGGACTCGATTTATCTTTTATCGACCAAAAATTCAAAACTGCACCACTGGTTGCAGAACACTTGTAGTGTACTTAAGCTTAACCCCTATGTTCTACGCTAACGCCACACTACAGTAACACGGAAATTAGTTGTCAGGTAAACTCCTGACTTGACTTTCCGACTACTTTTAACTTTAACTTTTCTCGACTTTCGAAATAGGATCGCGTCAATATTGAACGAAAAGTCTTTTTGTTCAACATTGACACGATCCTATCTCGGAAGTCGCTCACATCTTTAGAAAAACATAGATTGTAGACCGGGATCAAGTGTTCTGTGACCGGCATTCTTTCCTGGCGAGAGGTTTAGCTCCCTTAGCAACACTCAAACATGCTTTACTGGGTGAATGAGAACCGAGGATCTTCTCACGTCCAGGTCTTATGCCCCCGGCAACGTATCTCCTGTGCAATCCCTACCCTCATGCGTGGAATTAAACGCCGGTCCGCAGGTCTTACCACGTCAGCCGGGCCCAATTTGTGCCGGAAGCATTCACGCTGAAAACTTATTACCCAATAAGGGGGTCTTACGACGATCGGGTCTGCAGGACCTAGAATACGTAACCCTTATGCGCAATAAAAGTTGCAAGGGCTCTTCTCTATACAGACACACTGCATGTCCAGATGCGAAACTACGCAGCCTCTTGTGCGAAAACACACCCACACAATGAATGGGTGTAACGGGAGTCTTACAACGCGGTGTGCTCCGAACGGTTATGCACGGGATGCTTACACTAATCGGCTGGCTTGTACGAATCCAGGGGTACGGAGCATCCGACACGGAGGCCCTCACCCTCACGCACCCTTAAATTGTCCCGGAGCACTTACTTCCGAACGCAACTCCAGATGAGATCATAATGGGAGGCCTTCCAACGTGTCTTGACGCCCAGTCTGCACAAACAAACAACACATTTACAGGACGAACGTATTCTCCATGAGAGCGCACTTAACGAAACACAGAACATACTAAACAAAATTTCCCCTTTAGGAATCGTAGTGGAAATATTAATTAATTTCGGCGCGTAGTTAACAATACGGATGGTTTCACTTACCCTAAGTCAACTTTACGTTTGACAGTTTTATTTGGGGTTTAGGTAATTTATTGCCTATATGAACGTGGGAAAGAACGCAATGCCGCTCAAAATTTGGTACTTATTTTATTTTTTATTTTATTTACAAGTTGGTGTGTGCTGCTATACACGTCACGTACATTTCTTAAACCATTACCCATTTACCATCAGTCTTTTTAGTGTAATACAAGGAAGTTGAGTTAAGCTTATGTGCTCGATTTTCGGTCGTCTTTATATATCTGTTCCAGCCAAATCTCAGCCCCTGGGCCACCTAGAAACTTCGGGTTTTCACTCATTGATAGCTGCTATGCTTTGTATTTCCCGCTACTCATCATTTACAGTTGTGTTACACGGCAACATGCACAAGTGGGTTTTGAAATTTTTTTATTCATTTGTGCACATTCTAGCATATAGGAATATTTTACTCAAAATGCCAAGCGCTGAATAAAATGTTAACTGTCATTAAGTAGTTAATAGATGCTATTTAAATTGTTTAAATTCTTTTTTTCACTACTAGCGTCTGATGACATGATTATTAACCTTTTTTCCACTTGTAAAGTAGGCTTTCTCGGCATTTGTTCAAAGTTGTTAATAATTTTTTATTATTAACTAGTAGTCAATAATGAGAACTGTCACGCTGTCACTTTTAGAAAACACAACCCGAAATTTCGCTCAATGAACGTTTAGACAAGTTCTCTAAAACGAATAATTGCCACCATTCGCAATTTCCAGAGAAATTACATACCTAAAATTATCACATTTTGAAAACATTCGAACGAAATTACTCTTTGAAAAATCTCAATGACAGAACAAAATACGGCCTGTTTGACTTGTACTTCCACGTACTTGATTGACATGTTAAATTAAGAAACAAAAAATTCTGTTCAACCGTTCACTTTCTTATCAATATAATATGTTAATTTAGAGGATTTCAAGTGCTAGTAGTGAAAAAAATAGTATATATACCACGGTAGAGAAGTCTATTATTGCCATCGCACCTTACACCCCTCGGCGCAAGCGCCTCGAGATGTAATCTTGGTGCTCAGGCAATAATAGTGGACTTCTCTACCTTGATATATAATGTACTATTATACTTCGATGTGGTCCATTTGAAAGGCTACATATGGGAATTATACGTATACATCTGTTATATTACTTTTCCGCAACCATATATGGGTAGGTAGAGTATTGTTTTCATCTCAGAGTAAAGCTTGTTATCACTATAACTCAAAATCTACTGGGACAAATTGCGTAAATTTTTGCAGTCGTATTACTTGCTGGTTGGAGTAGACACCTATTAATTTTCAGACCGGCGAGGCATATCCTAACTTTCGTATTTATGAACCGATCTTGCTGAAATTTTTACAGTGGTACCTTTTAATAGAGGCAAATCGATTGACTATAGTAAACATATAAAAAGCTACGTGCGTATGCGCAGAAGTAACTTTCTTGTGTATGGGCCGATCTTGCTTAAATTTTAACGTGCCTTTTGATAAAAGCAAATCGGTCAATTATATTAACATTGTGACAAGCTGCGCGCGAGAATGCGCAGGGTAAATTTCATATTTGTGTACAGATCTTACTGAAATTTTAACAGAAGAATCAGCTGTTCATAAAAACAAATTTGTCGATTATACGAGTACATGCCATAAGCCACTTTCGTGCATGTGTATTAGTAAATTTCTTATTTTTGAACTAATTTTTGTGAAAAGTAACGGCATCAAATTGAATATCCATGTCAAAAATTGGTACTTCGATTAGGTACTTCGCTCAATAAAAAATGAAGCCATGTATGAGAAGTAAATACAATAAAAGGAATGTGATGGGTCTCAACAGATGCTACCTTGCGGAAAAGTTAAGGTTTGAAGAAACTCATTTGTTCTATATCGTTTTGCTTGGCCAAACTTATTAGCGTAACACAACAAAGTTGAGGTAACGCTTATGTGCTCGATTTTCCGTCGTTTCTCTATCTGTCTGGGTCACCTATAGAGACTTCGGGTTTTCGCTAATAGATAGCTGCTATGGTCTATATTTGCCCGTTACTCATTACATTATTTACAGTTGTGTTACGCGGCAACACTCACGAGTGGGGTTTGACACATTTTTTAAATATATTTTAATAACAAGCACTATATTTTAGGAATAAGATCATTTGTATCATTTATAGTATTTTTTCAGCTTTGGAGCCATCGACGAACGATACTGATCGTTGTGTAGATGTCAAATCTGATCTAATTTATGACTCCAACAATAACGATAACTTTTGGGTCACAACACTTTCTGAGTAAGTTTACTTTTTTTTATTTTTAAAATTGTTATTATACAGGCTGTTTCACGCAAACCGTTACCTAAAAGTATTCAGGCTCTCATTGTTAATTTGAATTTGAAAATTTTCATACCAACATAGTTTTTCATTATCGTTTCACTTCCGGTTTTACTGGATATGGATAGACACTTTCCTATTTTAAATAGAACACCCTGTATTGTAAGGTTGACATTAATTGCTCCATGTTACAACTTCTTATTAAATAGAAAATGTATGGGTTTGCCAGTTACCGACAACAGTAAAGTGTAATCTTTAACCCTGTCTTTAACAGATCGGTCTATACCTACGCACAGATATAGTCCCCTCTCAATATTTATTATTTATCTTATACTTTTGACTTTACATTCTACTGTTGTTTATAACTTAAATATTAAATAAATACTACGCAATAATTATCTAGATAGATTTAATTAAGGCAAGTAGATGGCACACTATCTTTTTCATTTAATTAACAAGTTATGAACGGTTATGAATGGAGTAATTAATTCCAAACTTGCTATTTAGTAAGCAATTAATGTAGAAAGCGGGTTACCTCAAAGCCATATCTTTACTATTGTAAATTAATACACAATTTATCACAGCAATTAATTCGAAACTTGTAGTTTATTAAGCAAATAAGTTCTAATGTTAAACTAGTACACGCAATTTTATATACAAATTTTACCAAATGGGCGAAGCATATGTTAAGTTCCACATTACAGCAATAAATTAGCAATTAATAAGCACTTTATTATGTGCTATTACATTTGACAAACTGCAATGGTCGGCGCGCTAAGTTAACGGACATGAAAAAATCCGACTCCAGTTGTTGTCTGAAAATGAAAGTGATTAGAATGTCACGAAATGTCCGTTCGGTTTTTATGAGTAAAACAAATTCTCCCAAACTACCTTTGATACATATTGTTTCGTCTGGCAGGATGAAATTTTTGGAAATCTTAATTTAAATGGACAAGGGCGGTCTCCTTTTTGTGTAGTAACATTGTAATTAAATTTTATTAATTTGTCGTTGGTCTATATAACGGCATGGGGATTATTTGTGTGATACGAGAAAGCGGTCAAGGTTGTTTTTGTTTACATTTTTATTTTATTTAACGTAGAATTTCTGGGAATTTTGTTTGGCCTTTATCTGTTATCAAATGCTTAATTGTATGTGATTTATCGCCTTTTCTGTGCAGTAGAGAGATGAAATTTTATTCTTCCTAGAATTTAAATTTGGATTTATCTCTTAATGTCTGATAGCAAATTGATTTAGAAAAATTATTCGACCTCTATTTTTTCGTCTATTAACGTACATTGAGGGGGTAGTCTTTGTTGTCAACTGTGTATTTGGTTGTTATAATTTTGATTTTCGGAAGAAGGGTTTCGCCGTAAATAGGACGTTAACAAGAAAAGCGTCGTTTGTAGCCACAGTCAACACAGAACTACATTTGTTTGAAAATTTGAATCAGCTTTTTGCTATGTTCAGCACCGAGTTACGTTTTGTTAGAGATTTTTTTCGCTTATTTCGATTATTTGTGTTGAAGCGACAGCCAGCACTGAAAGTTTCGTCTAATGTGAGTTTAAAGTTTGAAGAAGTTTCGTGTGTGAAGCCGGAAGCCGAATTCGCGGCTAATTAATGTTCTACGTTTTGAAGTTTTGGCAATCAAAGGTGCTGCAAGAAGAGGTGTTTGTTGGCACCCCTATAAGTATGTTTTCAACGTGACTTTGAAGTTGAGTTTTTTTATTGGAACATCTTTGACTACCCGGAGAGAAGATGCTGCTATTACCCGGTCGTTAGTGTAAAGTGCGTTCGTTGAAAATTGTGATTGTTTTTGTGTACTGTGTCCATTTTATTTGGATATTACAATTCCCGGACAAGAATAATTGTTTGTGTTTTTGTACCATTTTTCTTTTGTGTGTTAAGATTAAATCGCATTTTTGTGATTTTCCTATTAATTTCCTTGTGTTTCATTCTCAACGACGTGTTTTCTAACTTACCTGTTGTTTTAATTG